AATACTATATATATATATATATATATATATATATATAAACTTCTTGTACATTCGACTTCCTCTCGCTTCTTAGTGGAAATATAGGAGGCCGCATGATTACTATATATACTACTGTAATTCATGATGAGTTTCAACTAAATTTTTCTGGGAAAAACTTATTTTGGTAACCATTGGATGTCCAAATACGAATTAATTAAAGACTATTTTATAAACACTTGCTAAGTCATGTCACACGTTTGGGAACGTCCGGTTTTGTACCTTGGCAGATGCATACTATTTTATCACCACCAAACAAACATCAATTGTACATAGATCAATGGACTTAAACAGTGAATGAAGCGCCACATGTTGTCTGTTTATCTTGATGAGGATGACACCGTTAAGGCGTTGGCCTTACCTAACCTTACCCAACCTGATGTCCTCTCTTGCCTTTGAGATAACTCAAATTGCATTGAAGGTATTTGGCTTTTAAATGTTGTGGAAGGCATGGTCACAGTGCCTGTGATAGTAAGCAATGCTGCAAACTAAGCAAACTAAGAAACAAGAATTTGCTATTATTCCCTCACAAGAAAGAGTTTTTGTGTAGAAAACATACTTTAAAAAAACAGTCACACAAAAGGAAAACGGATTGGGAAAACTCTTCAACGGCAATTTTTTATTGTCTGCGAACCTTATTCAAAAGAAAGTCGTGGATTCCAAAACGTTATACTTTCACCCCAAAACACATCCATTGATACTTTTATGACAAAACACATTCATTGATACTGTCATTCCAAAACATATACATTGATACTGTAATTCCAAAACACATTCATTGATACTATCAATCCAAAACACATTCAATTTGATACTTTCATCCAAAAACACATTCATTGATACTTTTATCCCAAAATACTTCATTTATACTTTCATCCCAAAACACACTCATTGATACTTTCATCCCAAAATACATTTATTGATACTTTCATCCAAAACACATTCATTGATACTTTCATGTTAAGGTAGATCAATTGATACTTTCATGCTAAAACACATTCATTGATACTTTAATTCCAAAATACTTCATTTATACTTTCATCCCAAAATACTTCATTTATACTTTCATCCCAAAATACTTCATTGATACTGTCATCCCAAAACGCATTTTTTATTATTTTTTGCCAAACCACATTCGTTGATAGTTTCATCTCAAAATACATTCATTGATACATTCATCCCAAAATACTTCATTTATACTTTCATCCCAAAATACTTTCATTGATACTGTCATGCCAAAATACATTCATTAATACTTTCATCCAAAACACATTCATTGGTACTTTCATTCCAAACATTTTTGTCAATACATCAAAACATAACAAGGACAGTGTGGCGCTGCACTCAAGTTCATAACTTAATTTAAAAGCACAACAAAATACAATTAACATATGAACACAGAGTTGACATATCAGTGCGCCGGAGTCCCACCACCCCAAGACATTAATAATACTAATGCTAATGAAGTTTTTAAAAAATTCATTGAGCTGGAGTGGCTTCAAAGGATTACGTATTGACCTCCTATATCTCATTGGTGGAAGCACATCCGACAATCAGAGCTAGAAGGAAAATTTAGGCCCTTTGACATGTGTAGTGTTTGGACTTCTATATCTAATTGACTGTTAAAGACAGTCAAGCAGAGCTAGAAGCGCTGAGTCTGAGTGAGCTGCATCGTTTTAAAGTTGTACAACGTGGGGCCTCTAAAAATAAGGTGCAGTTTAGCATTATCTGACATATTATTGATAGATACTTTTATCAAAAAATTAGATTTATAGAAACTTTCTTTCCCAAAACACATTCATTGATGGTGTTTTGGGCTTCATTCATCTAAGAACAGGTCTATTGAAGCTTTCACCCAGTTTCTTACTGATCTTCATTCCATTTTCATGATTTTGTCAATACTTCCATGGTGATACACAATGCTGACAAACACTTAAACACTCTTGTCCGAACAGGGCATGTGATCATATATCTCTCGCCATGAAAGTATGCCGCTGCACTGATGGACAACTTCACACCGATTTCCCGTCCACTGCATCCAAGACGTAATCGTCCGTCCCACAATGTGGGGCTATGTTTACTGCATGTCTATTTCACACATGCTTAGTGTCGACCATAAATGGGAATAAAGAGGTTCCCATCGTCAAAATTCCACCGGTGCGCTTCTCATAAACAGCACTCAAAACCCCCTGGACAAAGATGATGCTTGGTATTTATGAGATGGCCTGAACTTTGATCTGCCATTACATCGTAAGGTAGAGGTACGTCCACGTCGAAAATTACTCCATAATTACCCTCATCCTGGAGCATATGAAACCTTAATGGGTAGACTAATGTCACTCAATTTTTTATAGCCTGAAAGAGTCTGCGGGTCTGGCGTGGCACCATGTGAAGTATCGGCGGGATTCCTTTTAAAGTGGCACGGTGATGACCAGGTTCTGTGGGTCTCTCACTGCACTTAGCAGGTTTGAATACCTGGCGCCAGACAGACTGAGGTGGATTTTGTAGTTTAGTTAAAAAATCTTCTGGATAACGTCCGATTCTCAAGCCGGCCTGTAGGATATAGGAAATGCAGTTCCTGGCTAAGTACTTATGGAGTTGCTTATTCCTCATCCTGTCCACAATGTTCGTTTGATTAAGATCCCCATTCATCCAATCAGCTAACAGTATTATGGTAAAGTGCAGTTTCTTCGTCACTGTAGTGAGTTATGTTGATTAGAGGATACAGGGTCGTTCATGTCTACGTAATGTTGCTATGGCAATATGCAAATAAGGCCGTAATGACGGCTCCGAATCTCCAACATTGTCAATAGAACCGTTCTGTTCAATACTATTACGTAAGCAAGATGTACTCGGCGTAACATGGGATATGTAATTCGTTTGTTAATGTTAAAGGACTTAAACATTCAACAGAATACCCACACTATATCATCCCAGCATTTTGGGATTGCAAGCGATTCAAGTATGAAGTTAAAAGCCTCTTCAACTACTGATTGCTGTGCCTAAAAGTTGCATATTCTATTCCTCTAGGCTTGTGAAGGGGACAGAAATAAGGTCTGCTTAAATGAAGCTCTTCGTAATTGACGTTTTTAGATAACTACGGCTCTCACTCACTCACTAACGTCAACGCGATGCTAAAAACAATATTCATGTACAAAAATCTGCCTTTTAAACTTCTCTGATGTTATCTGTGCACAAGGCCAAGAGATAGCGATCTTCAAGAAGTAAGAAGGCATCCCATTATCTTGTCTACCTTCTCCAGGCGGTCGAGGTTATTCCAACTCTTCAGGACCTGTTATAGATAATCTGGCTCTTGCCCGATATCACCTTGTTAAGAGCATGTGCAGGTCGCAAACCTGTGGACCCCCCCCCCCCATATCTGAAGTCATCCGTGAGAGCAGACTTCTTTTTGTGGTCACTCATGGAGGAATAAGGAAGAGATTATTAGTAACGTCCTTCTCTGGGCACCTAAACATGGTCATGTTAGTGTAGGCAGACCTTGCACAACTTATATTCACCAACTGTGTGAGGATGCTGGTTGCAGACTAGAAGATCTGCCCATGGGCAAAGCATCCTTAGATATTTCGTTATTTATTACAAGCATGTACATCGTTTGTACTAGGACACAGGAGGCATGTAACGAGCAACTGTTTAGATTTCTTTGTAGCCTCTTTCTTGGTTTTACAATTCATCTGTATGCATGCATGTTGATGAAGCTTTGCCGTCAGGAACATGATTACAGCATTGTGCATCAAAACATTCATGCCATTGCCGGCAGCATTGACAATGATACTCGAACATATCATCCGCTCCCACCGCCCTGAAGGATTAGTGTTAAACTCCTCTGTCATCGTAGCTTCTTCTCAAACTTTGAAAAGTTATACTTGAAGTGTACTTCTCCCAAGGGCGGACGAGTTAACTTTAAGCCCAGCTTTTTGCATTGACCTTTTCTGGTCTACTCAGAGTAAATGTTAACGCTGGCGTCTAGGATCCTTCTCGTTCGTGCGTGGAGGATTGTCTTTGTATAGTCTCTCCTATCGCAGTCGACCACCTTACTCGGCGGAACCAAGACGAATCCGCTTTAAGAGCATGCAGGCATCACAGGGCCTGTAGGTGGAATACATGTAACAATGTAGGCGATTACACGTAGAGCTCCGTTACTTAGAACATGCGTCATCGGTAATCTGCTGAAGGACATTTCGTACAGACTGTCGAGATGATTCATCCTGTAAGCGGGAGGAGTGACAGGTGTTTACGGCAAACCGTCAAGCCCGGAACGTGCCTTGCCATAACAAGTGCGAAGGAAAAGTTGACACTCCTTGCCCCCGTGGAATGAAATGCAAAACGCAGTCTTTTAACAGATTCCAGAGGATTGCGCTGAAGAAGTCTGTATAATCAATGTTTCATGCTGTGCCGCGAATCTGCAGATTACAATTGAGGGCATCGCCCTGGCTGGCAATTTAGCTTTGCCTTGTAGCCAGAACTATAATCACTCAATTGCAGTGTTGGGATTTCTTCTTTTGAAGTGTCTTGAGCTGGAAAATCTAAGGAATCAGCGTCTCCTCTGTAATACAGGCATTGACGCACGTCACACACTTTTGCATCCGACTACAAGGTTTATCACGTCGGGATGAACTAAACTTGCGGATTAACTGTTCGGCACAGCGGCTTTGGAAACACTTACTGACTGACGGGAGTTTTGGAAAGAAGATGGCGCCCTGCTCCGCCAAGGGCACCTTTGAATGATAATGCCTTGTATATCGTACATTCCATGGTTACATAAAGGGGCAAAATTTACATTGAGTCGCCAACTTTCCTTGCATTTTTCGTTCTTATTCCTACAAAGAACACGTTTTGACTGATACTGGGATCTTATCTACTGACTTACACACCGCCATGGCAACTGGTTAGTAGCAAACACAACCCAATGGTATACGCACTGAAGTGGGAAACACATCGCCATCGCCTTGTCATTTTTTTTGCTTCAATGTATGCCACGTTTCCACGGAACTTGATTCGCTTGTGCCCGCGCCCTCACTTCGAACTTTCTCGGCGAGGACACACTTTGCTACTACCGAAGCAAATCACCCTTTCGGCCGCCATACTCCATCTCTCAGGAGAAAGTACCACACTGAAAGTTTCTTTCCTAGAGCTACATCACTATGGAACAAGCTTCCTTATGAATGCTTCCCAAACGGGTACAAACGTAAACCTTTCAAGTCAAGGGTGAACAAACATCTCTGCAGTTCCTTAATGTAAACCCAAAACATGTAAGTGGTTCGCATGAGCCTTATTTTGAGGTGAAAATTGAGGTACATGTAAAGAAAAAAAGTACTGGGGTGTATGTAGCTTGTCCTTCTTGTGCCCGTATCCATACCCCATACTTTTTCATTCGATATAATCTAATTGGTTCACGACAATTACGTGCTTGAAAGTCGTCATCATTCTAAAGACCTGGATGAACGCAGGCATTCTTAGAAAGTCACCCACGCAGTTTTCTATCAATGAAGCCCCTGGCAAAGCTATCCTGCTGTGTATCAGGATACAGAGTCATGCCTGCAGATATTTCATCACTTCCTTTCTTTTCTTTCCGGGAACTTCCGTACAATTGCCCTTTGGTCTCCCGCATACAGATAATGAAACTCAAAATCTGCCGCTATGTAGCTGTATGTATGGCTGCATAGCGCGAGACAAGTTCAGTTCAGTTCAAAATTGACTTGCATGCAAATGCCACGTACACAATGTTACATGAAGTATGTCGAAATTTCTTAGTCACTTTACACTTAACATTAACTCTCCATTAACTACAATAACTGTGATCCTTAAGTACACTGTCAAACTCGTGAGATTAAGCAAGTTCCAGCGTAGCTAAGCACTGTTTTGTTACGAACATGAACACCTAGTGCAAAGCTACTAGACCTTGCATTTATCTGTATTCTTTATCTACCGTAAGTAGGCTAGCTAAGGATCTGGGTACATTTACCATACGTTCGCAAACTGAGGGCATTTTTTAATAGTCGCGCAAAGGTCAGCTGTGTTTTTAGGTGAAAGGCTGTCTAAGATCCTTGTCGGCAGTTGGTTCTGTTGCAGCCTGTGTGAAAATTCTACTGCGACGATCGTGAGCGCGTTGTGTATGACTCTTACAACTCGAGATCTGACTGCATGCAACTTTACATAAAGGTGAGATACCACCATCATAGTTATAGAAAGTCTACTGCAAATACATGCCCTAGGGCTAATTGCAGGTACAAAAAACATGATATAAGAGACATACGTGGTCCTAGTTCTGTTTTCCAAACGTGACTACGAATGTTGTCATTATATTTAATGTTTTATTGTATATTATATAGCCGGGCGACTTCGACCAATGAGAAGCCTCCATTTCCCATCGGTTATCAGGCCGTAACATCATTAGTGGTGAATAATGAAAAAAGTGGTCGGTAATTAGAATAACAGACCACGTTGGGGACCGTACCATTAAACAGGGGACACGACACTAACAGTAGAGTTAAGACTTGTAGTATTTATCTATCAAACAATGTATTATATTTTGGAATAATAATGGTGATAATTTTAAATACGCTCACTCGTTGGTTTATGCGGTACTTATTGCACCTGACAAGGGGTTATTTCACCTCGGGGTGGGCATTAACCCTTATCATAAGTGTTGGGAATACCTAAAGAACTTGTCCCTTGTAGTCTTTCCTCTGCACATTTTTGTTATGTGTATTGATTCGAATTTATGTTCTCTTCTTTGATGTTTGACGACCGTACAGTAATCCCATTTTGGCGGCTGTGCTCTTGTGACATCCATAATTGGCTAGCCTTGCGACACTAGGCTGTACGCACGCGAAGGCCGCCATTTATATATACTTCGTCATGGCGGCCTCGCACCCTCACACGAACCTCATTAACATGCAAATTCTTAATCAATACCTGCACCTGTTGATACTTAAGCATATCCTCTGCTGAAATGGACCGCTTTAAGGCATCATCTCTCTCTTGGCCTCAGAATTACCGTCCAATCTGTCCCTCCTTTGATCTGACTAAAACCACAAGATTGATGTAGAGGTATGTGCGCTTTCTCCAGTAAGTGCTTTCTCCAGGTCATCCACTAGGTCTCCGCACCACTAAAATTGTCACTTTCTCCCTTCGCTCTTTATTTCAAGGAAAAAAACACTATTGCCTACATACGAGTCATATATATTTATGGGTACGGGATAATTGGTTTAATTCCACTGCAGTCCTTTTGTATCCTATAATTTGGCCTTCTTGTCAATAATTTAAACAGTCCATCTATATCATCTGCCGTATGCTGATTGCTTGAGTACGAGGTCTCCGCTTCTGGTGGGCGTGGTTTGGCAGTTCTGTTACCGCCGCGAGTCCTTTTAGACCGCTGAGTGGCAGCATCATTATGCACGGCAGCACGGCTGTGACGTCAGTGAAAAAATTCAAAACGTAACGGTTTTTAAGGAGGGTGATGGGAAGGAGCCAGCTCCAAACTGCACCTGCACATAGCACGATAAGCCACACATCCTCGCGCGCACCCATCGAACGGAAACCAACCAGCTCAGCATCGATCTAGAATATTCGGCCATCAGACGGTTTACCCAAAAAAAAGGAGGCCTCTTTCCAGACAAACAGAGTTCGGCCAGACAAAATTCTTACTGACGAAGAGCACCACTGATTTTGAAGAACTGCCAAATCGCCCGCAGAATCTGAAAGCGGTTATACTTCTGCGATCCTAGCGAGCGACTAAATTCCTAAGTTCACTAAAAATCCCGTTCAGTATCCACTTCAAAAGGACAGGTCTTACGTCCTAATTCCGGTTGTAAAAATTGTAAAAACTCTCATCCGTAGGCTTTGCTGTGTATATAGCTTCGGCTTTACTTAGAACAGTCACCACGGCTCCCATAAACAACAGCACCAGCGACCCCACCATGCGCACCGCCAGGGTCCCGCAAATGACACGGTTTCGAACCAAATCTGTTGACCTAGGGTTTCTCCATCGCGACAACACCATCAGCGAGGAAGACGACATGCCGGCGGGGAAGGACGCACTAAAGGGCCGGTCAGAGTCACTGGAAGCACCCGACAACATCATCGGCGAGGAATCCCGCAACAGCTTCGACTTCGAAACAGCATATGCCAGAGGTAGGCTACTATCATCATATCTTCATGTTGTTTACAATATGTAAGCTTTAGCTACAATATGTAAGCTTTAGCTATGATACACAACACAAGATGGACATATGTTACTACGGCAGAATATTGTTCAGCTACACAGACTACTGACATTGACGAGTACATGAATGTCTGTTATTACAGAATTGATAATACGTCTAGCTATTCCTTTGAGATTTTGCAGGAGGTTCAGATCGACAAAGGTAAGTCATGAAATATTCCGTCAATTGGACTTTGCCGTAAGCTGGGCTAATCTGGTAACGTTGTTCCATCTGTGCACGCGAGGGTTGTGTACGGTGTACCGGTGTCTATAGTCTGATGTAATGTCTGATGCATGCCCAACTGTTTGTCACACCGTAGAGCTTGCCGCGCGCATTCCTCAATGGTGTACTGCAAGGTTGGCACGCGAATATGGACTTCCAATTGACAAAACATGTTCCCTCGTGGAAAAGAAACATTTTGGACCCAATGTTGTTGCTTCTGCATTGCACGTTTGGAAGTAACGTTGATCAGTTTTGAGAATAGAGAAAAAAGATTGATAGTGTGTAAAAACGTCTTTTGCCATAGGGCAAATACTGACTCTCTCAGAAAAGAAACATTTTGGCCCCAACTACCCCTCCGTATTCTCCATTCGGGAGTAACGTTGATCTGTTTTTAAATTATAGATATAAATCTTTAATAGTGTGTGAAAATATCTTTAATCATGAGCAAATGCTAACGAGTAAATATTGTATTCCTATCGGTTTGTATCAGACACAATGATAACCGTGTCATTGGAAGAGTATTCATGGTGCATAGCAATTGAATACTTTTTTTTTTTGAGCCAGAAAAATATTGACTGATCTTTCATTCATGACAACATAGTAGGAAAACGGTACAATTTTATTGCCGAAGTAAGTGTCTCCGTCAGTTTGCATTGATTGTGTATCAAGTACAATGACAATCGTGCCATTGTTGATAGCACATAGCAATTGAACACTCCTTTTCGAGCCAGAAAATATTGACTGATCTTCCATTCATGGCATCGTAGGAGGAAAACTCTACTGTTTCATTGTCAAGGTAGATGTTACGTTCCATTAACTCGCTGTAAAACGAGTAGATTTGTATCCTTGTTACGGATTGCGTGGGTATGTGATCATTAAGTTTCAATTAACCATTTCATATCATTGAAAGTCGTGAAATGAGCGTTTTTAAAGCACTTCGTCTTCATGGCCAATGTTTATCGGTACATTTTATGAGATTGGGTTTTTGATGGCTTCAGCCTTTGAGATTCATGTCGACATGTAAAAGATGTGAGGGTAGTGTTATGTGGTTCCGCTTGCTTGAAGCTTTGTTTCTCTGTAACTACATAATCGTAAATACTGAAGTGTCTGCTAGAAGTTCATTTCCTGTTACATATAAGTGAGGTTTGCTATGTATCTATGCACGTACTGCTATAGGTACAAACTTAAATGTCTGGGGTCGTGTGGCATAACGATAGGTAGCATTCGGCTCGGAACCAAGAGGTCCCGAGTTCGAATCCTGCCATGCCACCGATCTTGTGCCATTGGTAAATGCACTCTACACGAATTTCCTCACTTACCTCAGGTGAAAATTCAGCACCTGCCAAAAAGAGCAACGTGCTTTAAAGAACTGCGTACATTTTATTATAGCCGATGACTTTTGATTTAGATATTTGCGCACTACTTTGTGTTGCTACTAGTTTGGTATAATTTGCTTTAAACTACGATTTCATTTGGACGTAGGTAAAGCCCCCGTCACACAAAGCCGAACACTCGCAGAACTTTCTCCAACCATGGTCAGGAGTAGGTCGGAAGCAGGTCGGCTATTGCTCGGCTGCTGCTCTGAGCCGAATGTTTCAAAATGTTTGAAACATTCGGGTGTGGACTGGAGGTTGGGCCATGGTTGGCTGGTGGTTGGGAGTGGACCAGCAGTGCTCTGGGCATGGTTGGCTGTCAAATCTGATTCAAATTTAACTCAATTTGCATAGATAGGTAGACGAGGCCTAAATCAGGCCAGATTTTGATCTCCAAACAGCTCATACAGTGGCAAGGCAGTAGAAAAGACATTGGCCAGGGGAGTGTCCATTAGCCTCCCATTGGGTACTGCCTGGCTAATTGATACAGCCTGGCCAATTTGATACTGTCTTTTGCGGCCACAGAAACATTTGCTTGGAGATCAGCCAGACTTCTTCCGAACTTCAGCCAACCTCGGTTGGTTGGTTGGTTGGTGGTCGGGCGAAGGTTGTGAATGAGTGACAGGGGCTTAAGGCTTTTTGATACTCTCATAGACCTTCCGGCAGTCCCAGTGCGACACTTCACCAGTTGGAGGTGTGAGGGTGCGGGGGAAAGTGACATGTATCTAATCCAAAACCACTTTAAAAAGAAGCCATTGAGTGTTAAGAGGAATGATTCTAATCACAAGGGGCTCATTTTCCTATCTTATTTGGCCAAGCATGCATATTCGCCCAAACCAGAGCAAAGCATTTAATATATATACAAATTTCGGACACAGCCTTTGACCAAATTCGCCCGTTTGCCATTGTATAATCTAATACATATATACAGGAACAGTAAACTACAAATGCACTTTCAGATACAGCATTTGACTACATTCGCCCGTTTGCCTATGTACAGTAAAATACATACAAGAACCCTAAACTACAAAACCAAAAACACCATGGCCTGTTAGAAGCAGCTATAATTTCAGTACAAGAAATATGCTTTTATGACAAATATGGTCTGTCGTCAGATATTTAGCAGGCAGCGTGAACGACCTTTTAACAAATTGTTTTCACGAGACTCGGAGTGTTTGATGTATCTTCTGCAAGCTGGCGAACATCTGCGTTGTACAAAACTCACATAATCCTATCTTCTAATGTGGCCAAATAATCAAATTTTCATCCAGCCCTTTGGGAGTGTCAAAGGTGGGTGCTGAGGGGCGACCTTCGTGATTACGACGGAATGTATGATCCTACAAAACCTCAAAAGCACATCCAACTGCAAGAAGGGGTCTATATCTTTTCCTCCAACGCGTTTTAGGATCTGTAACACTTTCCGTTTCATCTACCCTCACAGGGCTCGAAATATCAACAGGTAAAATTAGAGCTGTGCAGGTATTTCTGATGCCCACCTGCACCTAACCTGCACTGGTCCATGTACTGCATTTATATGCAAATATAGGTGTATGTATAAATGTAAATATGAGTGGATTTTCATCAGCTGCAGTGACTGCTACCTCCTTGAAGTATAAACGAAAAAATGGAAACGGTTTCTGAACAGTTTTTAGTATGATCCATACTTCCTAAATTTGCAGGTAAAATTTGTCTAGTGCAGGTAATTTTCAATGTTACCTCCGTATACACCAGTGCAGGTATGCAGGAAAGTATTTCCAGCCCTGGCCCTATGTGGGAGGATTAATTAGACAACACCGTACAGAAGTGATACGTGGATGTACATCACATGCATCTTAACACCAAAACCATCGTTTGATCACAGTCCCATGAGTATGATTCACCAAAACCTGAGTCGAGTAAAAGATTAGGATCTAACATCTGTCTTAGTTTGGCAGCGTCATTTGTAGGCTGAAAGGGAGGCCGATGAATACAAACGTCGAGCAATCTTTTTTTGATTCCATATAAGACAAATCATGTAAGAAAGAATCACTTCATGGTCACTGTAGTACCTCTCATTTCAAAATTGTACAAACCTTCATTCCAGATCTACGAATTGTAGTTCAACTGTACTTTAAAATACGTACAAACATACATGTACATAGTATTACATGTTACATACATGTACATAGTTATTGCATACATGTAAATACATGCATGTACATACATTCATGTACATACATTCATGTACATACATTCATGTACATAGTTATTACATACATATGTATTCACACACATAAACATATATACATACATACATACATGTACACACATCCATCCATACATACATACATACATACATACATACATAAGTAGCTACAGGTTTCTTCTGGAGATAAGAAAGTCTTATTGTGTTGGAGGAAAAAGTCTATTTCTATTCTTGTAAACCCACCTTTCTGCGTTTACAATGTTGCCTGTTGACTAAAGATAAGAAATCTAAAACGCCTTTTAGTCCTTTCCATTCTTTTCTGTGAAAAAAATATTAGATTCGTCGTTTCAGGGCCTTGTACATAATATCGTTAGTCCTGAAGAAACTTTACAAACCATTCGTTTGTAGTTTATATTCTCAGGAAGCAGCCACGAGTGTAAAATACAAACCTACAATGTATCTTACTATTTTCTGTTCATTGGTTACTAATTTCTGTTAAACTTATTTTTGTAGTATTTTGTATACACGCGTATTGAAAAAGGCAGTCGTCATTGAAATGATAGTCAATATCAAAAAATTAATCTCAAACTTTAACTCACGGATCATAGAACGGATAAATCATGATAATTTATTAAAGGCACCCATAGCGATATTTTAGGACAGTAAAACCGGATTTTCAAAGTCGTTTTTCTGGTCATTGATGTTTTCTTTCGATACAAAAAATTGCAAAGAAAGTTCACTAGCAGCACTTCCTTCTGGCTCGTATTTGAGTGGAATGACCTTCAGGGTTTCCCCGAGTGATTTTAAACCTGGCTTGCTGATTTTGCCGGGGATGATGACTCCTACATCCTGTTGAAGTGAAGATAAGACCAGGCGATGTTTATCAGAATCCCCCCCAGGCTTAGCAGTACGTTCTCAGTCACCAACGGTGTTTCTCCTGGTGCTAACGTGGTTTCACTAGGATGGGACATGTTTTCACTTAGAAGTACTGTGGCACATGATCATGATGACTCAATAACGAATGAATGAATGAATGAATGAATGAATGAATGAATAAGAGTTAGAAGCACCGAATGTCTTTCATTCGCAGTGTCTTGCATTAACACTCACCACAAGCACATCAGTACTTCCCGTAAAATGACTCGCTCCTCTATGTTTCGAACTAAAAACCATCAGAGAACAGGATGGAAAGGAAAGGAATAAATGAGTGAGTGAGTGAGTGAGTGAGTGAGTGAGTGAGTGAGTGAGTGAGTGAGTGAGTGAGTGAGTGAGTGAGTGAATTAATGGATTTCTGGAGACCTTTATTGTACATACATACAAACTGGGCTTAGTACGGGTAATAGCTTGTATATACATGTTGTAAACAAATGCTATTGTACGATTTTTGCACCAAAACAGGAAAAGGAACAAACTCTTGCCTAATATTCTCATTTATAACATTCCAACTTCTTTTTATTTCTTTTCCTTTGGTGCCTTCTTTACATAAAAACCAATCTCTTACATGAGCTAAAGGTAAACGTCTTTTAGCGTAGTTGCTTTCCAACCGTTCATGAATTTTTAAAACCTGTTCTCTTAACATTATCTGTTGCTGATAGTTTGAGTGCGGGGAGCTTCTAGACAGAACATTACCCTTATCCTTGTGGCTATACGTCACTAGACTCACTACCTTTCATTACCAGTTCAACTTCACCTGAAATGCCCTTCGGGTTATCTGTTGTGTTGAGATCCTCAGGTTCTGTCGATCCCCATATATCCACACGCAGCCGTTCCTTCTCACCTCTATGCGAGTTGAATGGTAATAGAGAATTGTCAAAAGCTGGTGATATGTGCTGAACGATCCATTCAGATACTTCTTTTAATGGTTGAAACGTCTTCCATACCAGCAACCTAAATCTCGTATTCGCTGTATTGTTCATAAGATCCGTGTTGTATGTAATTCAGTGGCTTGCATTGTGTTTCTTTGGAGAACATTTGAAGTAACGCATTCGTCTTGTACGTTATCGTAGCCTTCATGTGATTCCGTGGTGTTGATAGTGTCTCGTATCAGCTGAATTCCAGAAGAAAGTCACCCACTAAATGGCTTGAAAATCGGAAAGCCGTGCCCTTCACAACACGCTCTGAGGCTTACTCTATCTCCTCATCTAAATTGAAACATTTTGGCAAAAGTTTTCTATCAAGAACGGCATACGTATTTTCCCGATGACAATTTATCATTCTCCGTGTGATTTACCACTACTGTCGACCCTACGGTGAACATTTTTGCGCCAGACAATGGAAAAATCGAAGTCAATCATTTGCAAACCCTCGTAATCTGACTCCCAAATACATACGAAATCGCATGTACAATGTGCTGTACAGCTTTATAAAAAGATAAGAGCTTTCAGCTAAGAAAAACACTCTGGTTTGTGTCAGCAACGCTGCTTTGGCTGGAAGAGTTGATGGAATCTGCCTTGTATACAAAATGCGGCTTGGAGTAAAAAGGCCTTGGACAAAAGTGATCTCATTGTGTCTCAGCGGCGACTTGAAGAGCATCTGTTCGTACGCTGATAAGACTTCTACAATCAGACCCGTGTCGAAATGGACTTGAGATGGACGTCCAGAGCATCCATCTGACCAGCAAGTCTTTTAATGCTAAAAGGTACTGCGCCGTCCTCTTTCAGCGGGTCGAACATCTTGAAGAAAGGTCATACAAATTGCCTGCTCTTGGCGAAGCGAAACGCTGTCTGGATCTTGAATAACACGTTATGTCCTCTGAAATGCTGCATGTTGCGACCCGAGTGCTACGCGTTTGCATGCATAAAAGAGGCATGAAGTCTAAACCTTTGTCATTTCGTGGAAAAATTTATTTTGTAGAATATTAGGATACTTATCTTAGTGCGACATCTGTGCCTTACGCATATGACACTCTAGCCACACTACAATGTGGAAAGATCTCGGTAAACTACATGTATCTTTGCTGAATATTTCGAAATTCTGATAATAGTCGTTCTGTCCGTAAGATGTGCGAACTGAAATCATAGCTCAGTTTTATCAAACGTTTATCTAATTGTCATCGCATATGAAACACATAGCAACTGATATTCAGCGATACAGCTAGCTCTAAATCTTTTAATGGAAGTTTGAAAACGTTCCTTATTACAAAATGCCGTCTTTGAGGCCACTAAAGCCTGTACCTATGCCAGCAGTTTGCCATTACGATTTACGTCACAGCCATTGTGAGCCATCAGCCTCAAATTGTACCCTTTATCTCGTCCATATTTCATAGAGATAACGTATAATCTACGCAGAAGAGAAATATGGAGATGGAATATCGGTGTGGAGCCTGGACCACGACAAATTTGAATGTCATTTAGTGAACGACCTTCCCATACTTTTAGTGATACCTTACAAGGTCAGAGACGACCAGCCGTGTCATGCCAGACCCATCAGCCAACTTTATAATACTTGCACTTTGTTTTGCAAAACTTTTGCGAAGCTACAAAGAAGTTTCAGAAGAAAACTGTTTCTCAAGCAACTAAATAGATTTTGAAAATTGTTGCTTGAGTACCAGTTTAGTTGTGTATATCATTATTTGGATGTCTAAACTTTCATTACAAAGAAGACAGACGTCCAAGTTTGGGCTTACGAAAATACCTGCACGGTTTAGCCAAAAACGTAGAAAAGCTTATTTCTAGTTGCTGGGCATGTAGTCATAAATTTTAAGGATCTTGAGGATGTATTGGATACGTTTTATGTAGGAATCTTTTGATCTGATAGTTCTTTGTTAAGTCATTTTCTCAACGATACTATATTTCTATCATATATTGCATTTCAGCCAATGAAGGATGCTACTGTGTGTTGTGTCTTGAAACGACGTAAAGAAAATTCTTTTGCCCCTCCTCCAAGATCTTCTGCCCGCCAGAAACGCCCCCGCCACGACCACCCTGTTCCTGACCAAGGTTGTGGAGATCTTGTGCGACTATGTCCGGAAGACGTACGACCGGAGTGAGAAGGTGGTGGACTTCCACCATCCTCAGGACCTGAAGAAGTTCCTGGATCTGGAGATTCCCGACGAGCGGCCTGAGACGCTGGAGAAGATCCTGGAATCCTGCCGGGAAACTCTCAAGTATGGAGTCAAAACAGGTGAGGGGTTTGGGCTGATTACTTGTCTGTGTTTTGACTTATTGAGAATATATCATACTATTATAGACAGCGATGACAAGGAGAGAGGGCAAATGTCAGACTCATGTTGTCATGAAAATCCATCTGTGTTTGTCTGCCGAGTAACTATCAAGAATGGAGTGAAAACAGGTGATGGGTTTTGTTTGATTATTTGTTGGTGTCTTGGATGTTTTGGGCTTCTTGAAGGTATGTAGACATGGACAGTGATAACAATGAGAATTTGTAGTGCAATGATATTTTCATGTTAGTATGACAAGAATTTAATTTTACTCGCACACACACACACACACATATAGTATATATATATATAGAGAGAGAGATATATCGTTAGATAGATAGATAGATAGATAATGACTGTAATATGATGTAATTGATTTTGATGTCCGTGTTTTTAACTAGAGTCGATGATGAATATGCTAATTGTAAAAACAATAGTATAGCGATTGCAACCACCTTAGAATATGTTGCCGTAGTTACAAGCACTAAGTGCTATATTGGTATGCTACACAGACTTTAGCAAGTGTTATTGCAAGGATTTAGCACACAACAATACAAATACTAAATACACGTATATTCAAACCAAACTGTGTACTAACAATGCTGGGAATGCTCAACATACTAGCTAATTATACAAATGAAGTGCACAGCCAACCCACTATTGAGTAACCCTCAACTTTGCTCTGGTGATGATCACACGGCAATGGCAGCAGCCGCCACATAATCGGTTGGCAACGCTTCGGTATCGAGAAGAGCAAGCGTGTTTTACATTGTCACGTGTGGCCGTTTACCTCCAAGAAGCTGTCGTGTCGGCATCTGCGGGCGTTCCATCAAGTCTTTGCATCAGATAGGCTTTTGCAAAAGAGGATTAAAGCCCGGTCGCCAGGGTGTCTCCCAAACGGCTGTCCTCGGGGACACATTCACCACGGCTTGTCACGGATCCGCAAAGGACTGTGTTTTGCTCGAAATGGGATCATCAATAATGTCTTGTAAGTGTACACGGCCCATAAATGTGGCTGTGTCGCTTCTTCCATCGTTTTTATGGTTGTTTTATCCTCGTGTTACACGCTACCATGTCCTCAGCACTGACGGTTATGTATTTAAGCACCGATATTTCTTTGTGCTGACGCCAGGTGTAAGTGTTTCAATGCTTTCGTAGCCTCCTGTGCAGGCCTACGGGCGGGTGGGAGTTTTGATACTGCATTTTGTAGAATTTTTTTTCTTTTGCCGGTCATCCTACAACCAGCTACCCAGAAAGGTTTGGCGGGTACAAATCATCTCTTGGCGGCTGGTTGTAGGGTGACCAGCAAAGAAACGCAGTATCAAAACTCCCACCCGCTCGGAGGCCTGAACAAGAGGCTTTCGCACCAGACAAGTTTGTCGGAACAAATTCTGTACATTTTTCTGCTATCAAGGCGTATGTTTCACCTGTCGAGGGTAATGAGAGAGAAACCACGTTGTTAATTGCACTAATGGAGAATACACATTCGTCATACACATTATCTAAAAGCGTATCGCGTTGAGTCGGACTGGAACAGACTGCCGCTGGTATTCTGTGGGTTTTTGATACGATTGTCTGCAATCGTTTCAGTCATTAACACACTGTGATAGCGTCCCTCGAGACCTCATCCTGTGGTGTATTGTGATTGCATTATTACCTTACGCAAGGAACCAAACGCACTTAAAACATACCACATTACTTATACATCCCTAATCGCCCTTAAAGTTGCTAGTAATAGGCTACGGCGAGTCATAAAGAGTCACCTACATTTTTTTTCAATTTGCAATGGATACTTTCACCGATACACTAGCATATGTTATTTGAGTATAGATATACTTTGAGGACATTAAAATACTTTTATGTGAATACTGGCTGGTATAGTATGATTCACAGTTATTCACTGAAATTTTAAAAAAATTATATTAGTTCCAAAATGAATAAAGAAAACGGGAAGGAGAGAAATACAAGCGCACAGAGAGAGAACAGAGACGGAGGCAGAGAGAGGAAATAAGAGAGATGGACCATAGATGAAGTTACTATTAACAATTCCTTTACAACCAGCTATATATTACAGTTTCAAGCTTTTCCGCATTAGCATGGTCGTATATAGCGGTGCCCATCTCCGTTTCGTAGACCTTGGGCCTTTCAGTTGTGCTATTACTACAGCAGGGGCTAGTCCACTGGTAGTGGTGTATGTTTAACTCCCATACTCTTTCTCAAATGCTAAGCAGAGAAAGCAGTTTGTACCATTTTTATATTAAAGTCTTTGGTATGACTCGGCCAGGAATCGAACTTAGGATCAACCGAATGTAAAGCCAGCTGCAAATGTCGAAATGCAGCCGCAAATCGCTCGGGCAACTTGGAGATTCCAACCGCCTCTTTTGATGCTGCGTGACGCTGAAACTTGCTATGGACGCTGAAACTTGCTTTGGACACTGCAAACTTCAAATTGGGCGCTCCTCAAGAACATCATTGACAAAACTCAAGCAATCTTCACCGACGCATGAGGAAAAAAATCGATTCGTTCCAGTTCCGTAGACATGCCTATTACTCATCGCCTAATAGAGGAGTCATACACTGTGCATGTTCTATTCATGTGGCTAATAGAGCGGCTAGTGTGTCGTACTGCAGTAATGTGCTACTGATTTGAGTCTAGTCGAGCGCAGCGCGGTGTCTGACGCACGGGGAATAAATAATTCACCGCGAGCTTAGCTTCTGTAAATGTAGCAGAGTGGCAGTTCTTCTTGCTTCTAACCGCATTGGTTTGCCGAATGCCCCCGCTGCGAAACTAAATAACGTGTGCCGGAATGAAGGCAGCGGCTTCCCAAGGTGACCTCTCCCGGGAATCATGCGATAATCCCCCGCTATGTGCAATCAGGAACATCGGTCCACCAAAAGACCTAAGTCCATTGGCACCTTACAATCACTTCTGCGGTAAGCGAAAATGGGTGATTGGACTCTGTTAACGTCCACGATAGACAGCAGGGATTGTCTCCGAACATAACCTCACTGCTATCATCTCGCAAACAGACAGGAACGCTTTACAGTAGATCGCTACAGGGTGTCTGCGACATTTCTCGGGAAATGGGTTCGCCATATGCCTTCGGTCAGATGGTTTTAAGGAAAGCTGTATAAAGTCTATGGTTGGCAGTCATCGGTCCATCAGTCTGTAATGTTTGCCCGCCAGTTCCGGCAGCAAAGACAAGATAAGAAAACATGGAATATGAGTTGATGTTCTCTTTCGATGGATAAGAGTTATCTAAAAAGTTACAGATGTGTTTTGAGTATTAGTAATGGCAGAGGATGACCGTCTGTCACGTAGAAAGATCACTAGCATCCTTTGCAGGCAAGAAGGCAATAAAAAAACTTGGCCAATCAGACAATAGTGCGCCAAAAAAGTGACCGCGAAGTTCCACAGGGGTGGTGCCCATCTACATCTCTGTAGCCCTTGTGCCACACAGTAGTGCAAGCACTGCAGCAGGGGGCTAGCCTGCTGGTAGTGTTGTGTGTTACTCTGTCATAAACGCTGAGTGCTATAAGCAGAGAAAGCAGAGATACCCTTAATAGAGCCCATAGGTAAAGCGCCTCTGATTTGCTACCGTTTCTGATTTACATTTAAATAAAACTAGTGACAGGGTTTTAAAGACCTATACATGTACATGGGAATGTCCGTGGATTATCAGCAAACTTGTAAGCTGGACGGCAAAGCAGCTGGTTAAAATTCAGGCCATGACAAGAAGCAGTCACCGAAATCTGAAAGCAGCTTGAATATGTATAGACAAAATATCATAAATTTTTAGGAAAGGAACTTTCAGTCTTCGAGTTTTCAAATTCAATTCCATTTCTATCCCTCAAAGGATTGCGAGCGAGAAACTTGAAAAGAAAATCAAGATCACGGTTCCTCTACTTCGGAAAATCATGGAACGAAGAAGCGTCCTATCTAAATCATAATGCTGCAAAATTGACATAAAGAATCATTGATCTTCAGATAATGTTAGATATCATCAGATGATGTTAAATGACCCAAACGGTACAAAAGGAGAAGCAAAATCAAACTTTACATGGCCTCTTATAACTTACATTCAATACCTTAAGCAGCTAAGGACGCGAAGGTACACATCTTTCTAAAAGTTGAGAACTTTCAAAAGACCTTGTAGAATTTCGATTATCTCGCATCGCCGGGTCTTTTAATGGACTTGAACCTGCTGGTGTGAAATCTTGAACCGTGCTGTCAGTTCGTTCTAAAGTACATCTTAAGTTCTGTCAAATGTTGCAGCCAACTAGTATGCAAATCGCCCTTTCTTTATCTAGGCTCACTGTACAGGAAAAATCTACATCACCCGCCTCGGTAGCAAATGTGGATTTGAATGCACACAGCGGAGTGGAAGGAACTGCCGGATATTATATGCAGATTACATTTGGATAGGATCGCGGAGGAATGTTTACGTAAAAAGCTTTTTGGTTATGCGATTCGTGTGCGCTGTCGGAAAACAGGAAATGGGAAGAACGCTGAGAAGTGTGGTTACTATCTATTCAAGGCCGAGGCATTTTTGCACAGTGGAATACAGTAACTACATTTTTTGCTTTTACATCTTTACACAACTGCTTCGAAATTCAATTTCTCACTGACACTTAACATCATGTCTTGAACCACCAGAGACTGAATACTTCCATTTGATAATGAAAAAACAGCATTTGACATTCTTAAAATCATGCAAATATAGGGCATTAGAAAAAAAACAATGGTTTTGTTGTTTCTTTGGTAACATTTTTTCCAACCACTGTAACATCGTTTTTTTTACAGCGATGTGATCAAACCGACAACAGCAAGTTTCTTTCACAGGTCAAACTTTAGAATCTGTGAACTAATAACAATGGCCATTTTGTCAAGATGATTTCTATCTAGATTATGTCACATGTCTATAAAACTACTTTAACTTCCTATTTGTTCAGGACATCCCCGCTTTTTCAACCAGCTGTCCAGCGGGATGGACGTCATCTCTCTGGCGGGGGAATGGCTCACGGCGACCGCCAACACCAACATGTGCGTACCGGTCCTCTTCTTTCCTATTTCTTATTGTTCACACAGTACAACATAATGTGGTCGCACACTCAAGTAGCTAAGACTTATTTTAACGCTACCACTTAGACATAATGAGAGGATAAATTAACAAAAATAATCCAATATAAAGGATATACAGATGATAATATATATGTGACACAAAGTAATAGAAAAACAAAGATGTTGGAAGCACATGATCAACTTTCCACTCAATGGTGTACCGAGTAAAAAGGACGGACGCAATGCAAAATGCAAGACAAAAATTAACTTTTTAGAAGCGTTTTGTTGCGGTAATGAATTGTTGAGTAAACGACAAAATGAAGGCACAATCTCTACCGACAGAGACTCTGATAGGGATCACTTCCAGTAGAATCTACCAGATCGGAGGCTCTATCCTGATATATGCACACTTTCTGTGCCGTGGTCTATCTCACGGCGACCTCTGACTTTACTTCTGTTCACCGTTTCGTGAGACTTACAAATTACTACAGTCCCATCTGTCGGCAGAGATAGGCAAATGCCTTCAATCTTAGGTCATTTTCTCCACATAAATGTGTCGCCTGTCTCAGTACCATGCACGAACTGTCCGACACGACATGCCCTTTTCTTCCTTCAACGGTCTACGTTGATGAAGGTTAGACATGCAGGTAAAACAATAGTCAAAAACAAATCAAACTCTAGTACTCTATAAGTAACGGAGATAACTTCTGAACGTCTGGAGTGACATTCGTCAATCTTCTTCAGCGTCTACGTCAAGTAACCAGACATCTTGTGATGAAATAGATAAATAAAGCCGTGTAAGAAGTATTTTTCAACACTGTTTCGATGTGAGATATACGTCAGTGCAAAATGCGTGAATGTCCTCCATCCGAAATGTCATGTATAAATATTGATGTTGAATAATTCTTTATCCAAATGAAACTATTAGTAACCACTCGGTACAGTATTAGACTGAAGGCCGCTTGCAAGACGGTCCGCAATGGCGTGACAAACCCTGTTTAATTGGTCAATAAGTCACAGCAAATGAAATTACAAGCTTCAGTGCCCAATGACATCGCATTTAACATGATGTGAACATGCGTGTGGAACAACCCAAAGGGAAAGACGCGAAACAGCAAATAGCTACAGGAAACGAAATTGATACTTAACGTTTAAGGAAGAAAAATAGCAAATTTTGTCTGCGGCAACGACGTGATTGTTCACTCTTCGCATAAAACTGTGTCCCAATAACCTGGCTTAAGTAGTAAATTGACCTTCCAATATGCTGTTGCGGCCTTGTTGCTTTTGAAACAACAGTTAAGCCTCTCTACATCGATTGGTGTATTTAGGTCACACAGATAGGCCAGCAGAATGAGGAAACGCTGATCGTTGAGTTGTATCTTCTAGGTTCAACTTGTTGCAGATAAAGTAGTAAATTACCCTGTCACACATCGAAGACTCTGCAACTTCCGACCTCAGACTTATACGATAAGATAAAGTCCACATGTCAAGACCTCGTCACACGAAGTCGTACGAAATTAAAGCCCACATGTTAAGACACGGTCACGTTTGTCGTAAGATTGTCGCAAGATGGTCGTACGATTGCAAACTGAGGGTGCACAACTGCTCAAAATTGTACATCAAGCTCGTATCCTAAATGTGACAGTGTTGCTACACAAAGCAGAAGAGACAAAATAAACTATAAAACTATGGAGAATACTACATGTTAAGTCTGTTTCAATAGGGGATACACAGAAAATTAGATAAAGTCAATATTCCAATCTCCGTGTATTCTGACAGCATCCTGATCTCTAGTGACTGCTGACAACGCTGTGAGAATGATATGGAAAACCTTGGAGACGTGTTGTAATCGTCTACAATCCAGCCTGTCAAATGTTGTAATCTAATGGTTTTTGAAGTCAGCATTCCTGTCAAACGTTTCGGAGTCCCCGCCAGCGTGATACGAGGTAGATGACGGGGAGAGAAATCCTCCTTACCGTCGGTATCTCTTGTAATTTCCCTTTAGGTTCACGTATGAGATTGCACCTGTCTTCATCGTCATGGAGGAGATGATCCTCAAGAAGATGAGAGAAATCATCGGGTTTCCCGCCAAAAGTGGAGACGGCATTTTCAGTCCAGGTATGTGGATCAAATTACAATCAAAATGCATCGATTGGCCGGGATGGTTACAATTACACAATAACAGTTACAGTTACAGTTATTTGAAATTGTGATGGGGAGGTGAGAACCCGTTATTTGAAACTTAAACCGTTTCTCAGCGTTCTGACCCAATTGCTGTGATCAGGTGATTTTCTTCACGTGTGCCGTCAGCAGTAGGTCAAAGGTTGTAGGAAGTCGATATCGTGCCCCGTCACGGTGCGCATGCAAAATGTTCGAGAGGTGACGATCCACTCCATATTCGTTTCCCAGTTTCATTCAATTTTGAATCATAGATTTTTAAAAGTCACAAAAAGGAACACGTTTCTTTATAAAAAGAGTGCAAATCATTGCCCCCCCCCCCAAAAAAAAAGAAAGAAAATGCGGAACGCCTGCAAACGAGACTAATGCTAGTAAACGTCTGTTAACTTGTCACAAGTGTTACTGCAACTCCTGTAAGTTCAATGTCAGGAGAAGGTGAGCCTTTGAAAGGGGTAGATTAATTGTACCTAATGTTGCGCGAAGATAATGCACCATTAATCACAGAGGAGAAGGTTCCCGAAAATTAATAACTGGAAACAGTCGCAATTTTTTTGCGATGACTGTGCGATTACGACAATGAAAGTCAATTATCTTCTAAGAGATAAGTATGAACTCAGTAACTTCAAAGCGGCGTGTTTCAAATAGTAAATTGTTCTACAAAAATCATTTCTTCTATATGTATGTTTGCAAATCGTGTACTTTGCAAGTTACATTTGGCACAGTTTTCTTTCTATATTTGGGAAGCAGACCCTTGTGGCTGTCTGGTTCGGAAGAAATTTTGGGATTGATATGTGAGAAAGTAATTTCATGGGGACTTCTCTTTATTCTTTATTCAAAAAATGGTCAACATAGCAGCAGTACATAAACAAAGAAAATTATGGACTGTTGAATTGTATTAACATTACATGTACATAAACATTGTGTGGTGCAGAAACGAACTCTGCAGTCTGGAGGTTCTTGCCATGGGAACCCAGGGTCCTCCCGCATTCCTTAAACTTGTTTTAGTGTATTTAACCAGAAGTTTCTATTCTATGTGGCCAAAGGCAATAGTACTGTCTGCCCTTGAGAAATGCGGCCGACATTTCCCGCGCTGTTACCGAGATAATAGCCGACGTTAGCCGCCGCTTTGGACGCAATCAATTCTTCCTCGGTCTGTTTCCTCGACTAGGCCTCGGCGGCCGCGGTGTTGATTGAAAAACGGTCCCCCGCGGAAGCAAACCATTATTTTTTAGTACTTACAGATGTTCGCCTCGCCTTAGGTCGCCATCATTTGATGGACGAGTCATTGCCTGGTGCGGGTCGGCTGGGACTATATCATCGAGAGCGAGATTCGACATTAGGAGACTTGTCTATCAGACAGTCGGAGTTTTGATGAATGACTACGCACAATCTACAGTTCCGACGTTTATGACTTTGGCGCCGAGTTTTATCTCCGAAAGAGGGACTCAAAAATTTACAGCGAAATTACATAGGATAATATGAGCTTCGCGTTCTTGACATAATCTCTGTCAGACATGTGGTAAACATGTTTTAAGACGTACCAGTGTTTGTTAAAGTTTAGGGAATTGTAAAGCTGCAGTGTATTTAATTACTACGAAATGCTGATTCATATTTTAAATGTAAAGTTTATTGCAAGTTCCTGCTTGTAGGCTAAAGGCAAGTACATGTAACATAAAAGTAAAGGAGGGACAATGGATAACAATACAGTATGTGACTACTCTAACAACTAAACACTAAATTCTAACTTGTTGGGTTTGACTCCTTTTAGTGGAAGTCGAATGATCCCACTATAATGAGTGGGTTTTGTGATACTAAGAGGAGAGTAGTTTTCTTTTTGTCTGTAAATGTGGAGAACTTAGGATCGAATTTGATGGCCTCTTTAAACATGTCCTTTCTTTCGTGATCGTAGAAGGGGTAGTTTGAAATAACATGTGTTTCGTCTCTAAACAAAAGAACATGTATACGGATTTCTCCTTGGTGCTGAAAAAAACTGCTGCTATTACTACATTACGCACATGGACGTCGACTCTCTCAAAAGGCAAAGATCAATGCCTGGAAATGAACACTAAGTGCTTTTCATCGATTGAACGACTCATCATGCACAATACAAGTAATAGGGCCCCCCACAGTTTCCAATCTCCTCTCACCACGCTACACAGCAGGAGCATCCAGCGGGCGAGAAGAGCGTCTTACCCCCCGCAGCCAGATAATTTCCTCCGTGTTTCTTGAGAGGAAACGTTTCCGTATTAAACTGTAATTGTGCTCTGTTGCTTATTCATCTATCGGCCGCACCATTAACGACTTCTCTACTCTTTACAAACCTCAAATTTATTTCTCGTCAAGTTCTTTGATATATGCCAAGGGATATGGAAACTTTGGGATTTGTTTAATGCTGAAGTATTCCTATTTTTTAACATTTACTCATGCAAGATGTAAAATCATTATGATCATCCCTTTCCGTAAGTCATTTTATTACTAATACTTTCTATTTCAAAGTGCAGTTACAGAGTACCCCTCGGAAAACAAATAATCAAAGGATAGGTTCAGCTACAAAAAAGATTATAAGATCCAGGGAACAACGAAGTTTGGTTGTAAGGTTATGTCGCAACTATACAATCATGTTTATACTTCACGAGCTGTTGTAAAGTTGTAGCCGGGTGTTCTGTGCCACAGCTGTTTATTTGCTTTTAATTTTGATGATCTTCTAATGTCTTTTGTTGAATCAGAAGTTCTAACTACCAACACAGATGAACTTTCATGATGTCCTGATGTTGTGCAGGCGGTGCAATCTCCAATCTGTACGCCGTGAACTGCGCACGCTACAAGTTCGTACCAGACGTCAAAAAGAAGGGACTCAGGGAAGCACCAAAACTCGTCATGTACATTTCAGAACATGTAGGTATACTTCTTTTTTCTAGATTGGCGAATCAAAATATATAGAAGTTGTTTTAGCTGCAAGTCGTTGTATGTCTGTAGAATCGGTATCTCGAAATTGTTAACTGGCAGAAGGAAAAACAGTCTTCAATATACCGTAATACTAGACAAGGAGACGCAACGTGCATGTTGTTAATGGATTCACTCATATTGCCTCCTGACAAAAACCCTCTGCATTTTCACGTGTTTTGAGCCAGTGCCAAATAGTTTCATAGACGCACAAATATGAAGTGGATTCTGGATTGCCACATAATGCTACTTGTGCAAAGGGAAATGGATGACTAGGGTAGATATTTGGAAATTACAAAGATGATAGCACTCATCATCTTTCATACCATAGAACAGCATGAAGCTTCTAGACTTGATCAAACGCTTGGTACAAAACTATTTATTCACCGATGTTACTATTGATTTCTGTTTATGGAAATAAATAGATAGTTTCAATAAAATTTACAATGAAACGGGTGAAAGTGAGAAATTGTACTTAGTTCGTATTATCTGATTTTTACTTCAATCAGTTACAACTCTTAACGACATTATAAAACAAGTTTGAACTGCAATATCCAACACAAGAAATTGGACTCACACAAATTTTCGACTGTACAACTCCAGTCTTTGTCGAGTAATGAGCAATTCACCGCTTCCGTGACATCACGCAGATAACACACGTGACTCCGTGAGCAGTCGATCCTAGGTTGGAGAAAGTCTGTAGCGTACCCCGTCTCTGTTGAGGGATGGTTGTAATGCCCTGACGACATTTTGTTACAGAGCCACTATTCTTTGAAGCGCGCTGCTGCCATAGTCGGAATCGGAACAGACAACGTCTACGCGGTAAAATGCGATGAACGGTGAGATTATGATGCCTTTCCCTTGCACTATATTAGCGTCTGTACGATGCACTATCAGCGTGCACATGGAACTGTTTGTATAAGTGCTCCTCTTCCGCCTTTTCCATTAAGAGCTAAGATCGGTGGCATTGCAGGATTCGAACTCGGGACCTATTGGTCCACACAACCCAAACACAGCATAGTTAGAGGCTTAAAGTTATTTCGAAAAAAGTATTTCGAACCCTGAAACTGTAGACATTTTGGACACGATCTCACTGTGACTTCGTACATAAATATTCAAACATGTACGTAATTTAAGGCGATGATTACTATGTCAAGAATGCATGCATTAATAATGTCTGGCATTCGCTCGAAATGGGAATGCACTTTCGAGAAAATTACTCCTAATACCTGCCTGGCATATGGTTGGATAGTTACAAATGGGCACTTTTTCCTCCAAATGGAGCGTTGTGGAACTCTGTAAAGGCATTTTGTTACAATGAATAAATCTCCTTAATGGATTGAATAAAAGCTGTCAAGAGCACTCGAGCGAGAGATGTGGTCTCAATCTATTAGATTCCATAACTAATGTATGACACGTTTACGTTTACATGTTACACCAGAGGCTCATTGATGCGCAGAAGACTACTTATTATTTCCGTTAATCACAGAAGTAGCATAATAGAAACAGTAAATCAAATACTTTCACTGGTGTAGAAGCGTAGCGAAGCATAAATAATTTCATAACTTAAAAAGTGTTCCGAGATTTTACGTCCAATATGTAACTGTCGAATTGAGCAAAATAACATACAGCACAACAAAATTTGCACACAGATATTTTTCTGAATTTGTATAGTTTTTTTGTTATTTTAAATGATATTAATGTTAGAATTAATGTAAGAAATATTACCATTATTGTAATCTATTCAATATTGATTACGTACCTACTCAATTTTCTTTTAACACAGAGGAAAGATGATACCATCGGACTTGGAACGAAAGATTCAAATCGCAAAATCGAAGGTAAATACGGTTCTCTATTGTTCTGCTAAGTAGGAAACGAGAACAGATTTTTGGTCGTAGATAGAAATGAAAGAGATTGTTCTCCTTGAAGTTGTTCACATTTCGTCTGCCCATGGGCCAGAAAGTAATAGAATTTTTTTTTTTATTTTGACACAAGCATTCCTTGTTGATAAAAACGATGTACACTTGTCTGAACCTGCCTACGATTAAAACAACCCAATGTTGAATATACTGTGACGTATGTTAAGAACTCGTTTTCGAATTCGTCTATGCTATATTTTCTTTCTTTCTATGGTGGGGCTAATATTAGCAGCCGATAGAGCTGTCCGCCACTGTGTTCTGTACTTTTTCATGATAAAAAAACTGTGTTCTTCAGGGAGAAACACCGTTCTTCGTCAGTGCCTCCGGCGGCTCAACCGTGTACGGCGCCTTCGACCCGCTTCACGACCTCGCAGACATCTGCCAGAGACACAAGATGTGGCTCCACGTTGACGTACGTCTATTCATTACCTCCATGGAATGTCATGGAGGTTATATCTTCAGTTACGTTTGTCTGTTGGTCAACAAGATAACTCAAGAACGGCTTCATGGATTGGTTTCATACTTGGTGTATTGGTAGGGTGTGACAAAAACTGGAAATGATGAGATTTTGGGCCCCCTAGTAGCTTTCCTTGGTACTGCAGCAGAACTTCCTGTTTTGATATCTCGCGATCTGGACATGCTAGGGTCATGATTATTGGATGTCAATACGCCGTTTACATCAATATTCCTGTAGTCATAGTTTTTAGAATATACTAGTATTATTATTATATTCTATTGACGGCACACTCAATTTTCATTCCGTCACTAACGCATGAACGGACAACAGACGTACTCATTTGCACCTGAGTAAAGTGAAGAGAGTCGTGTTAAATGCATTTCCCAAGGGTATACGTACATGATCGATCGATGGCATGGCAGGATTCGAACTCAGGACCTCTTGATTCCGAGTCGAACGCTCTGTCGTTACGCCACACGACCCCGCCATACATTTTGCCCTGTACAATTATCTACCAACAAAGTTGTTGCCTTGTTTTGTCCCCCACAGTGTGCCTGGGGAGGCGGCGTCCTGCTGTCCAAGAAATACAGGAAACGACTGGACGGCATTGAAAGGTACGATGTACGAAACTCACTGAACTGTGCCTCCCCGCAATTATACATGAAATAACTTCATGAAAGACAATGGTCCTTGTAGTTGCTTTAGGGTCTTGGTATTTTGCACCATGGCGTCTTATATCAAGCCAAGACGGTGACACCTTAATACTTTCGATTAAGACATCGTCAAATGGCTGTCACATTGAATGAACAGTGGGGGTAAATAAAGGCTATGATTCTGTGGTCCGATTGACATTTTATGACCAACACCTATGTCTACGTATTGACAGAAACTGCACCACCCTACGTGGTATTTCATAGTACCCTAGATGTTCATTGACGTTGAAAATCGATGATTTACTTCCATGATTGTCTTGCCGTGGCCGAATTAGTAGAAGTGTTTAAGGATGATTGAGATTTTTATTTCGGTCGTTCTTCTTGACCTAGAGCTGACTCTGTGACATGGAATCCACACAAGCTGATGGGCGTCATCCTGCAGTGTTCATGTCTGCTACTCAAAGAAAGCGTACGTATCATCATCTGAATTTACTTTCTACCTCCATGAAAAAAATGGAGGTATTGTTTTTGGTCTGTATGTATGTGAGTGTGTGTGTGTGTTTCAGTGTGTGTGTCTGCCACTGTGTGTGTGTCTGTGTTTCTGCATGGCCTTTAACTTAGGTTCCAATTGATATGGTTGGGCTCATTCTGTCCCAGCGTCAATAATCACTTGTACATCCGGAAGCCCTCCCTGTTTCCACGGGTGTTTTCCGTAACATGACCTCCTTGACAGCCGACAGTTTTCCTTGCACGATGAAAAAAGGGATTGCAAAAGAAGATTACACAAGATTTGAATATTCCATGGAGGTCTGAGATCTTGAGATTCTTGTTATTATACAGTTGTCTTCACAGTATTAGTGTACTGTTTGACTGACCAACCATAGGTTACCAAACTTTCTATCTGTTCCACTATATTTTCATGGATTAAATTCTTAAAGTTTTATCACAGTTTGAGATGACAACAGACGCAAAGATAAATCGATTTGCCAGATGAAAGTGTATGTCTCTGCCCACCTCTGTAGAAGGGCAACTTTGATATTCTCCTGCAGAAGTTGTGATAACTGTATCAGATAAATGATCATCACTTACTACAGATAAAGCTCTGTACGTAACAGGAGAAGACGACAATAAATCGTTAAAAATAAGGACATCAGGAAAACTTGAGATGCAAGCATCAGTGGCAAAACTTATCACATTTACAAACGTTTTTTTTTTTCAGTGTTAACATCAGAAAACGCATTTTTAGTTTAGATTACGTAACTGTGGTTGAATTGTTTTGAAATTTATGTATAATTGTGTCCTATCGAAGAAATTATTGTATATTTTGTTACCGAAGCAAGAGTTTCTCATGTTCTGGACATGCCATGGTCACATTCTTTCTGCTCAGAAAGAAGTGACTTCAAAATTCCAGTATTCTTGAGATCTACATGGATGTTTTAATTACAGTGTATTCTTTTTTGTCTCTGCGTGAACAGAACCTACTCCAGCGGTGTAACTCGATGTGCGCGGACTACCTGTTCCAACAAGATAAAAACTACGACGTGAGCTACGACACGGGCGACAAGACCATCCAGTGCGGCAGACATGTGGACGTCTTCAAACTGTGGCTCATGTGGAGAGCAAAGGTGCGTACATGCTGTTTTTTTTAACATTCAGTTTTTCGACACGGCGGTCCCTGAGAAATGGAAACCACATCTCCATATCGAAGTTCAGAACTGAAAGACTGAGGAAATCTTTTCTGTTTCAGGCAATAAGCCTCAGTAACCAAGATTTGTAAATAGTCCGCCTCTGTTTTAATGGACCTGACCTACAGAATTTTAAATCAATTTAATTTTAATCGTCAATGTTGTGCTTGTTAATGTGTATCTCTTTCAAGCTTTTTTAACATGTAATCACTTGTGCAATTCAGCCAACAATGCATATTGGCTGCCAATCAATGTGAATAAACAGTTTCAGTTTCAGTTTACTGAGACGGGCACATTTAGTTATTGTCTTGTATAAAGTCCCTGCCACACATTCAGAACCTTCCCCGAAAACCGAACAACCAACCAAGGTTGTTGGCTGAAATCAGGAGCAGCCTGACCAGATACGAATCAAATTTGAATTTGAGGTCCCTCCTCCCTTTCCCAAAAGTCATGGTCTCGCAGCGAGACATGATAGGCAAAGAACGAAGGTTTCTAGATTAGATTGAACTTAAAGGATTCTTTTGTTTTTCAGGCTACAGTTGGATTTGAGGCGCAGATCAACAAGTGTTTCGACCTGGCTCAGTAAGTATCCCATTTAGAACGTTTTCTTATGTTAAGACAATTATTCCTTTTTTTTTGTTTTAAAATCCAGTTTTGCGAGACATTGTATTTGTGAAATGTGCTAAAACCAGCGACATACGTAATTCTTTTATCGGTGCGCCCTGAATGTAGATATACTATATAAACAGTTAGTAAAAGACAAGCTATTTGTAAATATATATAATGACATCCCCTCATAACATTGCACAACAAAAACTATGCAAGTTCGTATACATCTGTTTAAGGAAGGGGAAAGAGACAAGAAATTATATATTCAATGATAGCATAGTTTTATCTGCTCGACTGTTTTGTAAACGATGGACGCAGTGTACCATAGCTCTAGTTGTTTTGTTTCGTCGACCGTTCAGAAACGCTATATATAAAGTAGTTATCATTGGCGTAAACATTTCATGTAAAATTACTGCATTTACCCCCACATGGGCAAGAACGTGCAAATAAAGATCACGCTATATTGTACTTTACTTGTGCAGCTACATGACCGACAAGCTGAAGGCGAGAGAAGGGTTTGAGATGGTAGTGGATGAACCGGAGCTGACGAACGTGTGTTTCTGGTACCTGCCGCCAAGTATACGGGACCTCCCCGACGGACCTGACAAGAGAGACCGGCTGGCTCAGGTCAGTATAATCCCACGTCACACATTCACGGATTTGGCCTCCCGAATGCTAGCCGAACGCCCGCCAACCATAGTTAGGTGTGGATCGGCTGGAAAAAAAGCTTTTTTCTGTTTTATTTTTTAGGATGTTACCATTGACAATATTGACTGAAGGAGACCATGTATTATTGTCTAAGTATATGCACAACATGCACACATACAGAAGCTACGCGCGGTACATCAGAGGTACATGTAAAGTGCCCTCACGCAACACTCCAAGCCGTCCGCAGTCCTCGACAACAAGTGTCGAAACGCATTTGGCTCGACGACAACTCCTTTTACACAGCACTTGTGTGGTGCTTCACGGTTTGGCTCAATATGAAAATATGATTCACGTGGCATGTATAGACGATTGATGCACGGAACAACACCCATCTGTTTGCACATCAGAATTACCAACTGAGTACAGTTTTCAATATATCAAACTGGCTTGGGATCGGACAGGTCGATTCCCATTGCCTCGTACAAAACAAGACAGTCTCCGTGCCTGGTGTGTTACGCCGAAGGCCTGGACGGCTATGCAGACACAGATAGTGCTAGCAGATCATAACTACATTTTGTATGAGTTCGTAGAAGAGGCTGCCATGCATTCACTCTCTTACTTAAAGGCTGAGTGTTATACTCACAGCTGAAATGCGACCACTTACACACACTCTGACGCTTGGGACACTTACTTACTTCACTTGTACAGCATCGCACACTATTAAACACTCTTTCTAAGGGCTAACACGGCATCACTGAACACGTGCATACTTGAGCCTGTGCTCTGATGACAATTTCGAGCCAATCGATTATCCTTTGCGTTTACATCCTCGCATGCCACGCCCGCCAACAACCAATTGAATCTCCCCGTTCTGTTGTTGGCTACCAGCCAATCACGTCGCCGCTTATGATCAAGAAGCAACATGATTGGCTAGTACATTTCCCACCTATAACAGGACGGGTGTCTGAGAGCCAAATGTGGTTTGTTCAAACTTCACCAATGAGCAATTAAAGAGTAAGGGTGACAACCAGACTTTGATAATAGAACCAGGTAACTGTTTTTCTCCAAGCAGGCCAATCTACGTATTTCCTGAATATGACAAAGGCCTGGACAAACATACAACCGTAATTGAAGCCCTTTAGATAGAGCTGTCTGTGATTGTATGCGCATTCAGATAGTGGTACCACCACAAAACACCAGAATGTAAACAGATATGGCGTCATATTTTGGCACCTCCACTTCTTGGATGATATTTATTAGCAGTATGGTAGGGTTGCACTTACTTTGTAAAGAAAGTCAAGTCAAGTTTATTGCACAACAGTTGCGTCAGATACAATGTACGGCAAGTAACGCTTAATATTTACCTGATATAATGACCGGAGAATTTACCTTTTGTGTCGTCCTAATGTTACATGATGCGGCTTTAATTGACTTATACGCGTGATCTATTCCAGGTGGCTCCCGTGGTGAAAGCCCGCATGATGGACCGAGGCATGACGATGATCGGCTACCAGCCCCTCGGCGACAACGTCAACTTCTTCCGCATGGTCATCTCCAACCCCGCTGCTACCACCGCCGACATCGACTACATGATTGAGGAGATCGAGCGGCTCGGGCAAGACTTGTAACTGCAAGTTTAGAACATCTCTGCCACAAACATTACTTTTTTTTTTAAAGACTTGTATCTGCAGCAGCAAAACTAACGTAATTTTGTACAAGGTAAGCAAAAGATTTGAGCTGCAAGTCTGTAACATCTTTGACACAAAGAATTGAAAGAACAAATTGTTAACCAAAAAAAAAACATTCGAATCTATTGATGAAGACCAATTAAACATCGCCAATACAATGTGCGCAAAACCCAAACTTTGGGCATTCCTGGTAAGCCCTTCCTCCTGCTAAAAACCAGAGCTATACGAAATTATAAATTTTATGGAAGTTTAAAAATGAAACGCTATTGTACAAACATTGTGCCCATCCCCCTACCTCTAACAATTGACAACCAAAGATTTGAAGGACCAAAAAGTAAGTCAACTAACAACAGTTTTATATCGGAATCTGACAGCACACTAAGGCCGACTTTATTTCGTCAGAACTGAATATATCTTTCTGTGATATTACTCGGTTTCCGGTGAATGAAACTCAAAGGTGAAACAAGTCAACAAAAAGAACTTGTAACAGTAAGTCGCTTCTAGATAGACATCGTATTTTCTTGTTAGTGTTCCAACACATGAAGTTACAATGGATTTGTTTATGTCATTTCACGATTATTATTTTTCTAAATAGGCAACAGAACTGTGTTACCTTGTTACCTTAAAAACTGTTAACAATACACATTGAAGTTTTGACCTTTTTCCTAGGCATATAGGGAAAACAATATAACAATATTTTTGTGTGTCAAACGCTTTTACTTCATGTTCTGTTGTGTTATGTCATTGTGTTTTTTATGCACGTATTGCTTCGAATGCACGGAAAACTTTCATTATGATGGCCACCATAGTAAGACTGTCATACCATACTTTAATACGATGCCTATCTATTGTAACAAACGCGAACGTGTGTCAAAAGTCTTAGAAAGTTGCTATTAAAACTGACCTCGGAACAAGGGTTCGCAATATTTCACGAAAGCCCTGCATGACACCACATGAAATATTTTTTATAAGTTCTTTTGTCGTTCACCAAAAGCTGCAGTCAATGACAGTAAGGTAAAACGTATTCAATTTTGACAACTTTTTGTAACTAGATCTGGGTAGAATTTTGGTTGGTAAAAGCTCAAACTGAAACAAACAAAACATATAACTACAAGGAGAGAAAAACACTCTGATGTTGAGTTCACAAAACAAACACGATAAATTTCAATCAAATGAGAGTTTCTTTTTCAATAATCACGAAATTCTAGAGGTGTAATGGTTGCTATCCATTCACTAAAGTTATCAAATTTGCACTTAAGATTACCTGCACTCGAGATTATTGCAAAATTCTGCACAATCTAATATTTTCGCTGCATGTGGAAAAGAATAGGGGCAATTGTAGCACTGTTTCAGAGCACACAAAATCACACTTGTTTTATGTATAAAGGACTTCGAAAAGAGCAAACATTGCCTGAATATCTTTGTAACTATTGGTTGACCCTGCCCCTAAAGGTTCATTTAATTTTGCTGCACCCTTAAAATAGCACGACTGCCCTTTTCCCATACTGTTGAACACTCAAGCACCTTTTATCGACTTTACTTTCTGATTGGTCAGTTCTCATCAACTAACGGCATTTTCATTTAAATGCAACCAATCATTAAGAAGCTTTCTGAACGGCAAGGTAGACTCATTGTGTGCTGCTGCGGTCACTATTATGTATATGGAAAAAAAACATGTGACTTGTGATTATATAGATACCGGTTACAATAATCAGGGAGTGTATAGTGCAATGAAGAAGTGTATATTTACATGTATGCAAGATAATTTACAAATGTTACGGCTATGCAGAAACTATTATAAGATAGAACGCCGGTGAAAAAACACAACGAGAAAGCCGATGGAGATAATAAGATTGTTAAGGTTGATTATGTGACATGGTAAAGATGTGGAAAAGCTTAGTCTTACCGAAGTACAAACTGTAAGCTTGAAAGTTAGACTTTACTCTGCAAAGGGAGGTGGCTCATAAGAAATTTCACAGTTTTACAGTGTGCATGTTCAACCGTGACGCATTGTGGTTAAGGTTAAAGGTTAAATTTTGACCTTGGACCACAATGCATCAGGGCTGCACATATTCACTTGAAACTGTGAAACGACTTATTTGCACTCGACTTTGTTGTGTGTTAGTATATGTTATGCACATGATGTGTAGCTGTGTTGGAACCACGTGACCAAATGACCAGTACTTGAACTGACATTCCAACTTGTAAACGTTCCATTCAACTTTAGACGTCAAAAAATGGGTTTGTCGTAGTGCAACTCGTGCTTTCACAAAAACTGTCCATTGCAGTAGATAAGCTACTGTTAACATTGTACTCCACAATTCTAATGAGCAAAACATCGGGCATGGGACGCTGAAATATGAACACCGATCTATGAAGGATCTTGCCAATCCCCTTACAGTTAGACATTGTCTTCAGTAGCTTATTTATTGGCAAAACCATATCATTTCTCATTATTGAAAGTCAATCTTGTCCCAAAACACTAGGTCAAAGCGTCAAGGAAAATTGTTCCACAGACAACAATCTTCTGTGTGCTCTTCTAGCATCATCTGAAGACAAGTGATCATGACCTTGAACAGAACGACCTTGGTGTTTGGTAATGGTGGACAAACTATGTTGATTAACTGTGTAGAGTTGGAACAATATGGCTGCCATTAGTAGACTCTCACAGGTTGATCCTGAACTACTACTTCTTACATAACAAAATGCCTGGATTTTTATGTTTTCCTACGCAGAACTAATTGGCCAATACAAAACTGTTCTACATAAAATGTTGTTCCAAGGACAAATAATGTAATATCACATTGATATATAGGCATCTCATGTTGACCACCAGAAAGTTATAATTAACTAGAAAGACAGCTACGTTGTTCCAGCTCTCTGCAACGGTTGGCATTTTCAAGAACGCCCCCGTGCGATAGAGATGGGTGTTGCAGAGTTACATCAAGGACATTATATAGTATATAAAGTCCTTGATTACATGTAGATGCAGGTGAAATTCATGCATGTTAAGCTTTGTAAACAACTCTCTTTCTGTCCAAATGTGTGATCCGGATCATTGCACCACATCCTCACGTCTATGTACAGTATATATGTCCGACAGATGAAATAGATATTTTTGTACCGTGACGTTTTGTCCATCACTTGTTTGTATTAGATGACGTGTCCACAAGAAATGATGACGTATCACAATATGGCTCCAGTGTTCCAGCAAAATCTTAACCCGCGTTACCAAAACACTTTACCAATAAGCAAATGCTAACGTTATGATTAAAAATGTTTGATTAGTAAGTAACCACGAAATTGATGCGACACTGGGCCCACAAGTGATATGTCATGAAATATTTTGTAGAGCTCTTTCATGTTGTACCGCTCAACCAAGGAACACCCAACCTTGAGATGGTGGTCATTGTTTTTACAGGTAATGTATCAAACAAAAAGGTGCTGCAGTCTTACTCTGCTGAACTATCCCCTATGGAAAATGTCCAACACTCATGACAAGATATTAAAGCTGCTTTATGTAACATTGGGGCGATACAAAAAAAAATATCTGGTCATTTCTTTAAAAGTAAGCTGAATCAACCCTACTCCATTGCAAGAAAAGTGTCATTCAGGAAGTGGAGGTGCTAAAATACGACGCCTTCAGAGTGTGTTGAAAGCTGCAAACACGGCTGTCAGCCATGTTTGTTTACATTTTGATATTTTGTGGCGGTGCCATAAACTGAGTGCACCTCGTGTAGGCTGTTTTAGCACCAACAGAAATGTGAGATAATTACACAAATATTTTGAAAAGTAAAAGTGAGTTACAATCATAAGATTTTTTTTTAGATTTTAAATTTGGTGCAAAAATGTTACGCAATGCCACTTTAATTCCTGGAACAATGTGAACCATCTCTAAGGTTTTGTAGCACTGTGGGTTTGTTTCTGATATTCCATCATGTATGGCAAATGCAACATTTACTCGGAAAAGGTAGAATATCCCATGATTCGCTAGACCGCAAAGGATCATGGTGGTATGCAAATGTAACTTATAACGGCCAATAAACATGCAAGACGTCATAGCCTACCTTTGGTTGGTGGCAAAACAACAAAAAGTTAAATCTAAACCATTAGAACCAAAATTGAATATTGCAACACAGGTATGTGTCAGTACACTAACCTGGTGGCCAGGCATCACTAAGGTATTCTCCCATATGTGATTCACTATAAAAAAGATTGTAAAACTACGTCTAAAACCCAGGCTATCATTGGCAACAAAAATGCACATAGTACTACCAACCAGGGAGGCCCATGTCTTGATAAACATGTACATATTTGTCATGAGTTTTTCTCTTCTCACGCTTAGGCCATAATGATTTGATTCTCATTGAAATATATGGAGGTTACAATTTTGCACTTTGGGCTTTTTTCTAAAAAAAAACATCTACAATTTTTAAAACATGCCTGTCCTTAGTGCTGAACACCTTCCACACAGGAAAACACACCTGTCCTTGGTGCTGAACACCTTTCAAACACAGGAAAACACACCTGTCCTTGCTGCTGAACGCCTCCCACACACAGGTAAACATGTCTGTCCTTGGTGCTGAACACCATCCACACACAGGTTAACATACCTGTTATTGGTGCTGAACACTATCCACACACAGGTAAACACACCTGTCCTTGGTGCTGAACACCTTCCACACACAGGTAAATATACTTGTCCTTGGTGCTGAACACCATCCACACACTGTAAAATATACCTGTCCTTGGTGCTGAACACCTTCCACACACAGGTAAACATGCCTGTCCTTGGTGCTGAACACCATCCACACACAGGCAAACACACCTGTCCTTGGTGCTGATCACCATCCACCATCCACACACAGGTAAACATACCTGTCCTTGGTGCTGAACACTATCCACACACAGGTAAACATGCCTGTCCTTGGTGCTGAACACCATCCACACACAGGCAAACACACCTGTCCTTGGTGCTGATCACCATCCACACACAGGTAAACATACCTGTCCTTGATGCTGAATACCATCTACACACAGGCAAACATACCTGTCCTTGGGGCTGAATGTCATCCACACAGGAAAACCAATTTACAGTGTTTTGGGTAGCAAAACTAATCCACAATTTCCTCAACAATCAAAACAGTTACTGTCATTTAATACAGCACTGGGTTTTTTTTTAGTTAATGAGTGTGATCTTTTTAAACCAATATCAAATGAAAAAATATAACACAAAAAACTATTTTGTTGTACTGATATAAATGGCCAAAAAAATTATGACAGCAAAAATATATTCTACATTAGCATCTTTTTTCTCCATTTTGTGTTAAATCATGCCATTGCTCATTCTACAGCTTCTTATAGAACTTTAAAAAATGGCAATTTCTTTCTTATCAAAACTGATGAAAATTAATGCAAGATGCGTATAAACAAATATTCAGTGTGGCTTATTGATTAATAGCAAAAAAAGAAAACGAGCACAAAATTGAATCCAGTGAATTTCTGCTGAGTTTATTTCTGCAGAAAAATGTAATACAAAAGATGCAAACCTTTATACATAAGGACAGAGCAAGGTGGTTGCTATACAATTAGGTTGACTGGTAAATATTTTGCAATGCACATCTTGTTAACAGTTATAATGGACGAGAAAAACACATCAAACAAAACATCCATTGTTGTTTCCATAAAGACACAATGGCCTTTACTTTTTTTGCATATTTCACCGACAAATTAAATATCTAATAATAGTTTGCAAATTTCATGATTTTTAAGTCAGATCATGCTACTGACACACAAGTATACTGCAAGAACAAATACCTAAGGATGTACCTAACTGTGCAGAGTAGTGTTCTAGCCAGCATCCGTCTTTCCGTCATTTGACAGAACTTTGCTGCTCACAACGGACAAAAAAATTTGCCCAATCCATCATCTCTGATGGACAAATATCAGCTTGTGTGTTAAGATATAGAAAGAGATGTCATGAAACTAAGCTTAGCCTACCAGCTAAATTTGCCCCTCAAAATGCAGGAAATAGTATTTAAGAGGGTCAAGATTTCAACATTTTGTCGAGGAAGCATGCCCCAAGACCTCAACATGATCTTACATCAAGCAAAATTGAGATGACGGAAAAAAGGTCACACTGGCTAGAACACTGGTGCAGAGTACAGTACAACTTAATTAAGCCTTGTCTTCATCTGTCCGAATGTCGTCGATCTTTAGGATCATTTTGACCAGCTGTGTGGCCAGCATGATCTGCTGTTTCTTGGCTAGTAATGTCTCGATGACGTGCTGCTCCTTCATATCTGAAAGAATAAAATAAACAGCATTGTAAACAACCTATGGCAAAGTAACAATCCCAGATGGCAGACTTCACCCCCTCAGATGGTAAAACACCCTGCGGCATAAAATGCAGAAACTGATGACTACAGAAACAGATACAGAGAAGCTAAAAACAATACTCAACACCCTTGGGGTGAAGAAATTAGTGAAACCAGCATGTGTGCCAATGTACAAGTAACTTGAAAAATGCCCCAAAAAATTGAAGCACAGTTGGTCCCCTTACTGAGACAGTCTAACTTATATCAAAGCAAAGTTGGGTTCCTTACCGTTGGTGCCCTTGCCGAGACAGTCGATACCGAGGCGAGGGTTGGTCTCCTTCACCTGCCGTGACTTGACGGCGGCTAGCGTCTTGATGGGGTGGAGACCGCTGTTCTCTGCCAGCGCCATGGGGATGGCGTCCAGCGCGTCAGCGAACGCTCGCATGGCGTACTGTTCTATGGACGGATTCTGTGGAGAAATACACATGTTGTAAGCCCACGTGTTGCTACAAATTTACCAACACTAAAAAGAACTGTTGAAAATAAAATGAAAATCCTATAACTATCTTGAGATTTTAGGTGCTTTGCTACCTTTACAGTAGATAATTAACAACACAACTATAACCACACCTTGTCAGCTGCCTCTGACACGGCCAGGGAACAGGCGATCTCGCTGGCACCACCGCCGTACACGATACGATGGTCACGGACAAGGTTCCGCACAACACACAGGGCGTCATGGATGGACCTCTTCGCTTCTTCAATAATCTACAACACAAAACAATTCACCAATACATAACTCCATAGCGATAACCATATTCATATACAGTCTGTACATCAATTGCAAAACCATATTTTCAGAGTTTCAACTGAAGAAGAAAGTGTGCCTTTGGGTAGGGCAAACAAGTTGTTTTATTTCAGACGTTGTTGACTTGAAATATCTTAACACATACTCATCTTATATACATCATGAAAAAAGTTTTAGCATAACTTTTGATTACAACAAAAATTAACCATTCGTAACATCAAAACACTTTCCAGTATGATGTTAAGAAACAATTAAGAACTTTCGGCTGAATTTGTGCACTTTAAAAACTATTCCTTTCTATTCCAATTTTCTACATTCTGTATTCTTAATTACTACAGCATTTTTCATGAATTAAATGCCCATAGCAGCAAAAGACAAAGAATCTATTCAGACATATATAAATTCTCATTGTTTTGCTCACCATCTTGTTCCCCCCTCTGATGAAGATGGTAACAGCCCGTGAGTTCTGACACTGTTCGATTACCAGCATGCGATCCTTGGTGGTGCCGAAGGTCAGCTCGCGTACAATCCCGGCCTTCCCGAGCTTCTCCGCCGACAGCTCCTGGAACCGCGGGACGATCCTCCCGCCTGTAGCTATGGCAATCAGCTGTGAATGTAAACAAAATATATTCTTCTTTTTCCTGCCTTATAACATGTTAACAGCACTGATATAAAATGAACATTGTCAATTTTAGTAAAGTATAGTTTAGACTTTAGTACAACTTCTGGTCTGGTCTTATGATACAAACAATACTATAATACTTAGATTATACTCAAGCAATTGGAAAACCTTTCTGTCAAACGTACCTCGATTTCAGGTCCCCCGACCCAGCGTACAGCCGGCAGCTCTCTCTGTAACAGAAGATGGTTGGCTTCGTCGTCAAAGCCCCACTGACAGATGACCAGGTTAGCTCCGGTGTCCTTAACCTGCCGGACCATCTCCTCAAACTTCTCCCGCTCGTATTCCTGCAGCTTCTTGTAGGCCTCCACAGACGTCACGTCCAGGTGGTGCTTGGTCTTGGGTTTGGGGGGCTCAAACGGGCACGTCAGGATGGCCAGCTTAGCATCCTTTACTTCCTGCAGTGGGTTGAAGATATCACATACAATTGTTTTTTTTCTTGTTCTTGTGACGTTAGAATAGTGGCTTTTGCAACCACCCTGGCCGTCGAGCATGTTCAAATGGTTTTAATCTTTGTCATACATTATGCACTGAAACCAAACCTACAGTTCAAAAAGCAGTACAATAGTGACCCCTAGCAGTCATTGTAGAAACTGCACCCTGAGGGGACACTACTGTTTAGTATTACATTTTGTGTATCTTTGATTCTATTTAGATCCACAATTACCTTGGGCATCTGTGGATGGCTGAAGTCCTTGTCTACAATCACACCTTTCACAAGCTGGGTGTCCTCCATCTTTCCACCAACCTACAAAAACACAACAGTTTAGAAAAATAGCAGAAATCCTTCAATACATGTATGCTTACTTGATTCTGTATATATTATGTGTACAGTGAATGAGAAACATTATTCCGAGTGATTGGGACAAGAAGTCTAGAAATTCAGAAATTATGCTGCCTGTGCATCATTAGTGTTCTTACTATCTGAATAAATACAAACTCAAACATAATGCAAAATTGGTCAAAAGGACAAGAAATAGAAGAATGAATTACTGAGTACAAGGTCATGAAATAGCCCCATATATATTCATAAAGTTTAACTTAGTTCTTCGATATCCATCATTATTATGAAGAAATGTTGAAGACATTGATGTTACGTACCTTTCCCTCTACCTTGATAAGCTCAAAGTCGACATCCTTCCGCTCGAAGTCCGCCACGGACAAAATGGCCTCCACCGCGATCTGAGCCATCTGGCGATGACAGCGGTTGATGCTGGAAAACAATTGTCACATCTTCCATTGATACTCAACCTTTGAACTAAGGCCTGGGGGGAAAAGTTGTTGTGTTTCCTGTTTCAGTTCTGAAAAAAATAGGGCCAGTGGGTAGGGATTTTTTTTTCCTATTTTGTTATGAGACTTTGGCAATCTCATGTGATCCAACTCAAAGTAGAACTTGAATGAAGACACTTATATTTTCAATGTCAATGTTGGAAAACCAATTGTACAACGCATCATCACTCAGGTGTCAGATCATGGAGATTGAAAAGGTCAATCAGCTCGAAAAAAAATGTCCTTGCAGGAGTCCACCTGAAAAAAAGGCCAGGGTCAGCAGTTTTCTCTAGGGTCAGTCAGGAAACACAACATTTTTTCCCTATGAAACACTATGCTCAGCGGAAACTGCCCTTCTGTACCTGACCCTATAATGTGAAAAAATTCTGCTGAGAACCCTTAGAGTCAGACAATATTAAAAAAAGAACAAAATGGTGGGATGAAAACTTACATTTTTGAGCTGAGGGTAGTCATGGCGGTCTCAATGAGCGGTTCTGGGTTCTTAGCGTCAACGGGGAAAGCGTCTGCAATCTGGTCCAGCCGGTCGATAGCCACCTGCGCCGCACACTGGTAACCATCGGCAACACGGATTGGGTGGATCCCCTTATCCAACAGGTGCTCTGCCTCCTCTAGTAGAGCACCAGCAAGGACTGAGGAAAAAATGGAACGTTTGAACATAAAACTGGATTTTCTTACAAATTTTTTCAATCAAATTGATCCATGACAATCAGAATGTTTTGCTGTTATTTAATTTAGTTGTTTATTGCCTAGAGCTCAAACTATTTAGGACTGGGGAAGGCAAACAACATTTTCAAATAGAGCTACTAGGCTTTATCTACTTCTGAGTCGAAAAAAATATTTTGAAAAAAATAATGACCATGTGTAACATTTATGATGTGAATGGAGTGCATTGGGGCAAACCTAACAAAACAACATAAAATACTGATAGTTGGGCAGCAACAGTTGAAGAAAGACATATTCTTCTATTTTCATTATACATAGTATTTTTTTCCATTCATCAAGTTGAAAATGTCTCCATCACCAAATGCATGTAGAGGTTGAGAAGGTTGTAGTATGAAGGTTTAACGTGTATTTCCAGAAAGCATTTCCAAATTGCTGAACAAAATTTTGATAAATATTGCAGAATACTGAAAAAAGTATTTTTACCAGTGTCAAGGTAAATAAATAAACAAACATACCGACGACTCCCGTGGTTCCATCTCCGATCTCGTCGTCCTGAGACTTGGACAGTTCCACCATGAGTTTAGCGATCTGATGTTCCACGTCCATCATGGACAGAATGGTGGCCCCGTCATTGGTCACTGTCACATCTCCATCTGCACTCACCATCATCTTATCCAACCCTGCGGCAGGTCAAGCAGACGGGAGGTGTGAAATACAAATGATATCAGTGGAAAGCAGACGAACAATGTCCAGACAGTCTGCTGCTATTATACCACTTTTCTTTGGAAATGAAACATAATATAAAGGTTTTGCTGACATTCTATGTATTTTATCTAATATGGTACACCCAAAGAATTTTTTGTGCACCAATTTTTTATGTTGGATGCACCAGTGCACCTATAATCCCAAAAATGAATTCTGAGCCCAGCCTAGTAATATTCCTAATTTCCTATTAACATTTAATAATACTACATGTACTATGAAAAAGGATTTCCTACCATTAGGACCCAGTGATGTACGAAGTGTGTGTGCCACAGTCTTTCCTGCCAAGATATGTTGCTGTGGACAGAAGAACAACACATGATGATCATTGACATGATAATTTTTGACACTGAATTTTATGATTCTGAATTACGAGTGATCGCTGTTTTTTTTTTTTCATCTCTGTTCTTTATTGACTTGAGTATAGAAATTATACATGTGTACATAGATGATAAACCGTTACATCACATTCATCAATTTCTGTCTGTTTAAACAAATATTTCACTTAATTACCCTGACAAATTGTCTGTCTGATACCTTTATATTAATGGCAAAAGGTACAGCTTGAAAGGCATCGTAATCATATGATAGAATTAAAGACATTTTGTCATTACTTAGTAATATTACTGTTTTTGCACTATAATCTACATGATCGCTGTTTTTGTTTACACTATATACACGCAAATCATTTGAAGACATGAGCAAATCACTTAGTGACTATCTCTCATTATTTCTAATAAGTGTTCTTTTCTACGGTCGCAAATTTTCGTCATCTCATGTGAATTTTTGTGTCCACATGAGAACCATGCCTGTCCGCCCCCCTCCCACAAAAATGTTCTGGAACCTTCTACATGTAAAAGCTGACAAGATACAGATTCTACGACAATAACTGCTGAAAAATGATTTTTCATAACATAAGTCATGTTTGTAAAAATCATAGGGAAAGTGTTTTTCTTACCTTCTGTGCCTGGATTCCTGTAAGCCGGGTTTTCTTGTCCTGATCACGAAGTATAATAAAAGGCCGGCCATATTCGTCGAACGCTAGTGAGCCTAAACCGCCTCCTTCTGACTGCATCATCTTGTTTCACTGGAAAAATTTTCAGCTGATTTGAAAAATAAGAAATGCTTATTAGTCTAGATGAATTTTTGAAGGTGATCAACCCAACCGTAAGCCGATGATCGTGGATGTTTTCGCACGATTTTGGTAAGTTCGTCTGCCACTGTTCTTCCCGACTGCCAGTTGGTCGATTCCAAATCTGCCTTCAAGAAACTGAACATTATATTATAGACGGAATATGAAATATAAAAACATTTCTACGGGTAAACTTGTGGTTCAAATCATCCTTTTTCTGTGCGTTTTATATTTTTCTATACTGTAAACGTTTATTATATTGGAATTTCTTGAAAGTATAAAAAATCCTTTTCACCCCTTTTCTACTAGTGGTCACCATCCAAATTATATCTCGCGAGAGTCTTCGAGAGTTGACGAGATATTCATGTCGCCGTAGCAACGAGGTCAGCTGTGTATACAACATGGCCGTCTGAGTCTGGAAAGTTCAGATCGTGTACAGAGTTTCGCAGTGTCCTTTTCCCATATTTCTGCATACAGCCATGGCGTTTTTCGGAATCACCGGACTAGGGTATCAAGATGCCATCAAGGAGAAGGTACTGAGACCAGCGGAGGTGAACTCGGAGGGTCTCGGGACGAGGGGAGTTGACACGGCGGCCGAGGTGGTGGGCGATCCCGGAGAAGGGACGCCGAAGCCTTTCTCACCCGCCGAGAAAGTCAACCCGTCAGAACTGACCAGCGGAGACCCGCAGGGCTCATATGTCAAGTACACTACCATGCTGAGGAAGCATATACGGAATCCTCATGGTAAGATTTTAATTCTCTTAGCTTTTCTAACAAAATTTTAAAGTGTAGTTACTTTAGATTCGTAATAGTATACAGGTCACACTACTGTCGACTGTTTGTTTGCATAAGAAAACAAAACACTTCAACATGCGAACAACAGTTTACTAAATATATGCGAGTACATTATATATGCAAGTGCTTATGATTTGATCAATTGGATATTAAAGTTCTTTATTCACAACCACTTATTTTACAAGAGCCGCCGTTTCGATGGCCGTCTGTCATCTTCATTACGGCCATTCAGGGTAAAACAAGTGGCTGTGAATAATGAACTTTGATATCTAATCATTCACCAACCTGATGAATTCATCTACGGATTTGATCAATTGTAATGTCACGGCAACGACTGCAGTTGCATGACTTGAATGTTGAAAGTTGTCACAGTGCATGAAATCAGGGAGGTTAATTAATTGCCAAGAGGTCAACCTCCTTGATAAACCATTGCATTGTTCGCAGCCCCACATGTTCCCCTTAGCTACATGTGCAATCAATGCTGAGAGAAGTGGGTGGAGTGAGGAAAGTCGTGTGAAGGGCACAAGATCAGTGACATTTAATACAGGATTTGAACCAAGGACCACAGGTTCTGGGTTAAACACCCAGCTGTAATGCCATATGGCTTTCCCTTATGACCTCAATGAAAATAGCTTCTCATGAATTGACAAATGTTCCTACAAACAGAATGATGCTCCCTTTAATGTGGCGTCAAGTGGCATAGTGGTAAAGTGTTCGACTATGAAATGGGGAGACCCGGGTTTGATCCCGAGTCGTACCTGGGACACGCCCAACTTTGTGCCCTTGGGATTGGCACTTAACACAACTTTCCTAACTCCACCCAGGTGTGAATGGGTACCTAACTTTGGTTGGGGAAGTTGTATTGAAGTCATGCCAAATGGCAGCCGCACAGACCCTTGCAACAGTTCCACAAAAGTGTGTGGAGCAAATATGTTATATGTATCATGTGTATTACATGATTGTAAACCCTGCATCAATTCAACACTATAAAAGGCTGTGATTGCATGGGTAAAATTTGACTAACAAACCGTTTATTATTACTTCCAGCCCCTAACCAGCTGAACCGGCTGCCCCAGACAGAGGGCCAGTGTGTCGGATTCTGGCACCCCAACAAGGGAGAACCTCCCATCCAGCAGCAGCTACCCTGGACACGGGTTCCACGCTACGGGATGGTCACCAGTGAGATGACCAGGTCAGTGATGGTCAAACTTTCTTCTGAATCCAGTGTTCTCGCCTGGGGCGTTTTGAGGATAGGGGCCCCTTATGCTGTGATTTGGACCCATATGCTGTCTTTCAACCAGCATAGGGTGTTTTATTGGTGTGATAAATGTACGGTACTTATAGAGCTCAATTCACAATCATTAAAATGTAGCTTATTAATTGGGGGCTGTTTCAACCACTTCAAGAAAGAAATGCTGACTAAAATGTAAAATGGCCAGATATATCAGACAGATTTCCTTATCCAGAATATTATTTTTGAAATTGCATTGGATGCTTTAAGGCTAAACATGTTTTTTTTTTTTATTCCCCTCCAGATTTGTAGACCAGATGGCAGTGACCAACAAGGAGTTCCGATTGTTTTAATGGGTGGAGTCTGGATCCAGGAGATCTTTTTTACTCGCAGTTTAATTTTTATTAGAATTTGGTGAGTGTGCCATGGAGATGTCCCATCATTCCAAGAAGGTTAACCTCCTTGATCATTCTTTGGGATAATATGGACAAAGAAACAGACTTTGAGCAGACTTCTGTGTTACTTAAGGCTTTAAGAAATACATGAATCTTATCTCTAAGTATGAATTTGGGCAGACTCATTTTAACTCACATAGAGGCTTGGTTTATTTTTCAGAAGTAAGCCTAAATTATATCACAAATGAAAAATAACAAAGAAAGCTATCTGTGTAAATATACTGGGTACAGTACAGTACATGGAGCATATCAATTTGTCTGTGCATTGCTTAATATTTTTGCAAAATGAATCACTTGTGCAGGATAACTTTTTCACTTAGAAATAAGCTGTATATTACAGATTTTGCAGTATGTGTACACAATTACTACCAATGTAATGAATTTATCAATTAAAAACTTTTGATCTACTTAACTGTCTATGGCTTTGCCTTTGTTTCTTCATTTTTCTGATCACATTTAGTATGGGTTTACGGAAAAAGAAGAGCTGTCCGCCTAGCCAGGCTTCAAATTCCACTATAGTTAAGTAATACTACAGGCACACTGGTAGTAGTGTATGGAATATTAATCAACAATATTAGTACATGTACAAGTATATTCTAGTACTATTCTTCCATATAAATTTTTTTACGGTTAATCCAATGTAGTTTTGAATCTTTCTACATAATTACACTTGTCAGCATCAATGCCACAATAAAAAGATAATAAATGGTAAAATAGTTTGAAAGTACAAAAGTTTGATACTACAAACTTTGAGAAAACTGTTACAGTACAAGATTCTATACTATCATTCAAGTGCTAATAGCAATTGTATGATAATTGATAAGGCCATACTAATTTGATTATTATATGGCTCTGGGCATCCCAAAACTGATGTGAGCATGCGGTGAAAAAAGTCTTCACTCTGAAACACTATTTCTTGCATTTAGCTAGTGGACTAAGCCAAGTTTAATGACATATCTTTACACACAATTCTAGTCTGTCAAAGATGACAGATTGGCCAAAATTTTTGTCATGAGGCCACTCCAATTTGACTTGTTGGTTCTCAGATTTTTTTCAGAAAACATATGAAGTAGCAGAGCAGAAAAAATGAAAATAAAAACAGCCTTTAAGTTAAACATCCAACGTTAGCCCCAGAAGCTATGATAGGAGCCATGGCGTCAATGTGCCAGACTGGCTAATAATTCAAATGATGAATTTTGAACTTTTAATAAAATGACTGCATTGTTACATGGAAAAACTGTACCAATGAGGAAGACAAGGTGCTTTCCTCAACTGCAAATCAGGAAAAATGAAGAGAACCAGTTAATCAAATTGGTGTGGCCTGAGCATAACAAAATTACATCAAATGATGGGATAAAATGGATGCTGGCTGGAACACTGTATCAGTCTGTAACAGGTCCGGCTAGCTCCACCCTCAGCCTGATGCCGTTCTCTGGGATGGGAAACTTCTTAAACTTCTTCATCTTCAGGGGAATCTGATAGGGTAAAAAAACATAAAAAAAAATTGAAAATCAGACTAGTGAATTGCACTAATGAAGATCCTAAAAAAGCAAACAAACAAACTATAAAGGTAACATTTGCAAAGCAAATTTTTAATATATACCTTCACATGGTCTAGTCTAACAAACTATTGCTCTGTTTATTCTTACTTAAACACATTCAAATATATGGTGACCAGCCCTTCCAACTCTGTCCTGCCACTTGCTATATAATGTAAGCCAACATCACAGCCACTTGCTACATGATGTAACCCAACATCAGAGGGTAGCCACCGGTACCAGTTACCATGGTGACAGACGTCTGGTCTAGTTTATTGACCTTATTTGTATGGAAAAGTAGAAAAAACAGAGCAAAAACAATAATTACATCAGTGTCTGGTGCTGTCTTGACGCGGTAGGTGTTGAGAAGCCTGGCCAATCCCAGCTTCAGTTCAAACAGAGCAAGCCTCATCCCGATACAGTTCCTCGGACCTGCGCCGAACGGCAGCCAATCATAGGCTCCCCTCTTCTCCTTCTCCTCCTTAGTGAAGCTGCAAGGAGGAAAAAAGATGACTATGACTTTCAAGAGTCTTGTTTTAACAAATTGGAGCCAAATTAGATTATTTGGCTACAACATAGGATGAATCGTATTTTCATATAGTCAAAACTTCCCCAAAAGACCACTCAAGGAACCTATAAAGTATAAAATCTGGTCTATGTCGACAGATGGCCACTGCATACAGGGTTCTCTATGCTTGTGTCAATGAGAAGAATTATCTAAGGAACTAAAAAGTGGTCACATCAACATGGTCCTTACATAGAGGTGGTCACTTGTACAGGTTTGACTGTATCTAAATGTCCTTTCTCTACTGACCAGTGCCAGACTACTTGGTAAATCAGAACAGCAATATACTAAGGACTACAGGTAAGTATGAGAAAAATTGTAAGTAAGACATTTCAGTTGTCTAACCGCTCAGGGATGAACTTGTACGGTTCAGGCCAGCGTTCGGCATCGTAGTGGATGGCAAGGACAGGAACAGCAACTAGCATGTTTTTAGGGATCGTGAGCCACTTGAGTTTCACCTCTTCTGAGCTGGTGCGGAGAGTCCTGGAATAAAAGGCAGATACATCAATGAATACTGTGGCATCGTGTGGCATAGTTGTTAGAGCGTTTGGGCACTCAAGTAAGGAGACCCGGGTTCGATCCCGGGTCCGAGCACAGGGGCATGCCAACGTAAAACACTGAGTACTGTTATAATTGGCACCAAAACACCATGACTGTATTCATTCCCCATTTTAAGTCAAAACTGTAACTTGAAGTTATAATCATGTATTACATAACATTTGTCTGAACTGGAACAATACATAATATTTGAATGGTTAAATGGTTATGCATACATGTATGCATGAATTATAAGTCACTAAGTCTTCTCATAAAATCTTATGTAACGTTACATGAAATCAACAAAAAAACACTTACATAGATGCAGGAGAGTACATGCGGAGGGTTTCCAAGATGCACATTTCAAGGTACGGCATCTTGTGGACATCCTCATAGTTAACAAAGTCCTGACGAAACAAAACAAACAGTTATGTGGCAATAGGAGGATACATGCGCAGGGTTTCCAAGATGCACATTTCCAAGTACGGCATGTTATGGACATTCTCGTGGCTAACATATTCCTCCTAGGAAAAAATCTCTCATACTTATTGCAAAACGTTAACTTAGTGGTTTATATACAATAACTGTCTTTCTTTGATGAAGTATGAAACAGGATCACAAAAAGCAAAGAAACAGAAACTCAGGTGCCGTGGCATGCCATGGTAACTGGTGCTGTTTCATTAACAATAAACAAAGCAGTAGTTTGTAAGACTAGAGCATGTGATCATCCGCATTCACCTTGCAAAATGAATGTTACTTTTCTAGTTACACGATGGTCAGATTTGGGCCCAAAAGTCCCAATCGGCTACTATGGAGATCGAATCCCCCGAACCCGCGAATCTTGTTCGATATGACGTCATTCGAATAGAGCGGGCGTTCGATCTGGGGTTACCCGCGGTCATTTACAGTAAACCCGCTACAACCGGCTACTTCAAGCCCTTTTTTTACTTGGGAACCACGGAACAGGAAAAATCCACCTTTCCACAAATATGAACCGTTTTCAAAACATTACATCTATGCCGTGATTTTATTGTGGATATGTAACATGTAACGAAGCTACTGCCGTCATCGTGGGTGACCTTGAAGGTCAGAATTCTTGTATACACTGTTATAAAATCCAGGTCCCCATATCCAAGTGTCATAGCACGCGCGCAAACATGGTATTTTAACCATTCCCAAAAATCGCTCAAATTACCTCTTTGAGGGCTTGTTTGGAAGAGGAACGATTTCCGCAGATTTCTGTCTTAGGGATTTTTTAAATATGGCCGCGATTATGAATTATCGGTATTTAAAGTTAAAACACTGCGTTTTTAGCTCTTCTTTTGACTGTAAGTCGAGTTTTAGTTAAAAAATAAAAAAATCCTAAGACACAAAGTTTAAATTTACTGTAATATTTCTAAAAATCCAAAAATCTAACCTTATTTTTAATTTTCGGGGCCTCTTAAAATCAGTTGTTTGGTTCTCGTGAACCCTTTTTGAAATCCGAAATTGATCTCATTTGGAAGCAAATGTACACAAAGTGGAGCAAAGGCAGTGCAAGAATAACATTTGAGGTAAACAAAATCACTTATTACATTTTTTTTTGATGAGTATTTACTCTCCAATTACTTTTGTTTATTTTCAAATTTTACCCGTTGCCCCCGGGCCGGCCTGGTACTCCCGCGCGGCCACGTTCGAACACGTTCTGTAACCCGATACCTCCCTAGTAATGCGACTTTTAGCCTAGCAACCGACCGCCGTGTTACCAGGTACGCTTTAGGTAAAGGGATGAATAAGATGAGATGAAACTGTCTTTCTTTTCTAATAGTATGTAAATGTGTAGATGTAAATGTGGAAGAACGTACCCTGTCCTCCATGACCTTGCTGATCTCCAGTCTGACCTTGTCCTGTTTGTCCTGGTTCAGAGCGAGGTTGTACAGCGTGAAGGCCATGGTCGTAGCCGTCGTCTCGTAGCCAGCGATGAAGAACAGGATCCCATTGGCCACAACATCATCCTTAGTCAGTGCTGAAAAAGGAGAGTTTGGGGCATATCTTTATGACATCATGTGGTATCAGTGTTCTCGCCAGGCCTTTTGAGCATAGGGGCCCCCTATGCTATGATTTGGACCCCTATGCTGTGATTTGGACCCCTATGCTGTCTTTCAACCAGCATAGGGGTGTTTTGGGGGGAGAACCTTCATAAATCTTGCAAAAAATGAAATTATAACCTTAGAATGAAGCTATAGCACAGAGAAAACCTTAACTTCACAAAATCTGTCCCTCAGAAATAGTGTCTCAGGTGGATATGAGTTTCAAAATTTTTCAGGAAGAATACCACACCCCTACTGTGGTCATGTTTTGGGGACTCAAGGCATGGCTTGCGTAGATTTCATAATGAAAGCCACTTTTTTTTGCGAAACTTTTTTTTATTTGCATACTTGCATCAGTTTTGGGGTTCCCAGAGGATGTCATCCATATAATCAAATCAACATGGGCTTACTGTGCAATGTGAAACCTACCCTGCTTGTGTCCGTGAAGCTTGACATCTCCTGTGCCTGCTTGTTCTTTGTCGTGTTCCTTGTGAGCATTCATCATCAGCTGCAGGAAATCCACACGTTCCTTTGGAAGAAACAACACAAATCACAATGGTGACAAACATACCTGTAATAAAATCATTTGATAACGGGTTTGATAACGGGTTCCGGACCGGGCCGTACCGTAAAGTACGGCCCGGTCCGGAACCCGTTATCAAACGCTTCCATGGCTTCCATAAAACGATTCGAACGCATTTCGCCCTAACCGCGCGTGCCCCTTTCGAAAATTCGAATACAGAATCCGGACGTTGGAATTGATGTTGTTGCATTTTAGGGTTCAGTGGCACCAACTTTTGGCTCATCTTGCATTGAAAGGTGTGTTTTCTTGGGTGGGCATGACATAAATAAAATACAACACGGTGTATTCCGCATCGCCCTCGGTCCCGGCCCTCGGTATCATCATGCTTACATCTGCTTGAAGATCATAAGTTTAGTTCTACTTACTTGCCCCTCATTCTGCCTCAACTCCATCAACTGGTCAAACACATTGTAGAAGAACTGCTTGGCGTCAGCAGGAAACACGCTGTACTCAAACTTCTCCATCAGTGAACCCACCAGCTTCGGGAAGAACACTACAGAAAAGAAATATTAGAGTTTCACCTTTTTTTACCAGTCTAAGGCCACACCAATTTGATTTGTTGGTTCTTAGATATTTTCAGAAAAATATGAAGCGACAGGGCAAAAAAAATAATAAAAACAGGCCTGGGCATCCGTATGATAGCCCCTAATGCTATGATAGGAGCCATGAAATCAACATACCAGGCTTCAAACAATGAATTTCATACTTTTAATCAAACCATTGCATTGATAGATGGAAAACTGTAACAACTCTGAAGAAAAGGGACTTCCTTCAACTGTTGGGGCAAAAATATGAGCATTTTGGAGTTAACTTAGAGGCTGAAAAGTTGTGTTTTTTTGCAAATCAGAAGAAAATGAAGCAGGCAAATTCGTGAACCAACAAATTAAATTGGTGTGCTCTCAAAAGACAAAGCTCCACTATGAAAAATCAACAACATTCACAATGTGACTTACTGAACATGAGCGTGACAATAGTAACTGATCTGTCAAGCATCTTCTTTGAGTAGATAACAAAAGGATCTTTTGGGTTCTTCTGTGAGTCAATCTGAGTCCCAAAGGCTGTCCTGGTGATGACATCCATAGTGAAGGCACCAGTCAGTCTGGAACAAATGTAGTAGTACATTGTACTGATTGTAGAATAGGTAAATGAGAAAACATACTACCAATTTCAAACAATGGCAGCCATCAATCAGGCAGAATCTTTCGCCACCAAATATATGTATTAGGTTATGGGTTTAGGTAGCAGTTTAATTGGCAGTACTCACTCTTTGACCTCAAAGGATTCACCATTCTCAGCAAACTTGCCGATGTTCTCTATCAGCAGACCTGCACAGCTGTTCATGGGTCCTGCCATCTGTTAACAACAGGCAGGAATTTCATTATCATGAAAGTTCATCCAAGTAACTTGGTAGTTAGCCAACATTGCAAAACACCAAGTTGCTCTTAAACAACCACAGCATATCTTTTCCTGACCTACATATGTAAGACCATGGTTGTGGGGAGTTCAGCAGTGTTCAGGAGGCCATATTTGTGGATGTGTGACAGGATATCCTACCTGTTTGAGTTTGCCTCCACTGAACGCTGGGCTGATGGTGCTGCGAACGTTCTTCCAGTCTTCATCTAGCAGCTGTGTCAGCATCCGACCCACAGGTTTCACTTTCATATAAAGGTCCTTAGGCTAGAACAGAACATTTGAAAGTAAGATACAAAAGTCATGTACCTTCAAATTCTTGTATCATGACTTTAAAAGGGAGAAGCAACACTGTGCAATACACTGTACATTAGTGGAGGTTAGAAACATCCAGAAGTACCAGTTATCTCTGTAATTTATACAGTAGTGATGCATTCCCTGCACGTTTGGCCAGCTAGCTATGACATCCTTACACCATAATCTGAGAGACAAATTTTCAACTCTATGGAAATACATGTCAGAATTTTCGCATAATTTTCATGCAACACATGCATTCTTGTCTAAGTTCTCAGGAATCCGTATTGTAGAGGACACTGGAGCCATTGCTTAATTTTTAATATTACTAAGTATATTTCAGGCAAGTATTGAAATGTTAAAGGATGTTCTATTAATCAGTTTGCAGACTATTCTGGTATTCAGAGGACTGGACATGGATAATACCAGGCTGTCATCAAGACTAATAAATTACAGTAGTCCCATACATATGGCATAATATATATTACTCAGATCAAGGAGGTTAAATAATTCTTGCTTAAAAATACCTGGCGGTTGGTAAAACTATGGAATTTCTTCACAAACACATCTTGTAGCATCTCAGGGTCGGTTATGAAGACACCGGTGAGTCCTCCACCAAACATCCTGAAAATCAACCATCACAAGAACGTAACTAAAATTAACTGGGTCTGTGTTTAATGCAGTTTATTATATAACATTACATGAGAAACACTAACATATGTAGTAATGCTTATGATATATATAGTATAAGCAAGACACTTACCCATACACACTGCCATACTTCTCTGTCCGTTTCACCTGGCCCTCGATATTCCATACTCCCTTCATAAATAATAACACAAATAAACGTTTAATGTCAGCATTATCAAAAGCAAAAAAAGACAAAAGTTGTTTTGTGATAGTAATGTTATTGTTGGACTTACATCTTTAATGTGATCAAGCAGGTTCCCTATGATTGGCCAAGGAGCAGGACCAGGTACACCTATCTTTTTGAACAGCTGAAGAGGTCGTACTGCATATCTGTTTAAGAAAGTGGAGAAACAATTGCTAAAAATGTATAATTTTATAACAATAAATAATAGTAATTCATCAAATAATATTAAAATAACAATTTTCCATAATTTTATACAAAGGCTCCTTGAGCACCCTGGCCCAGTGAGTGCAAGAAGCCCCCTAGTTAATTCAGCATTCAGTCTTCTACAGAACACCGCCATACATGTATATGTTCAACCAAGTCTAATAATAGAATGTCCTTGGTTCAACATCCAAATATATTTTTTCATGCAAATCTTGAAAATCACATGTAAACTGCAAGTTGCACGTGACTTGGGTATTTCGAGCCCACAAGTTAGTGATGACAGGTTTCATCAAATAATGTTAGATCAAACAAGTCCAAGAAATATTTCATGTAAGTTAGATGTATTTGATGTAAGATAATCTTATTAACTTACATGTAGAACAGGACAGGCAGTATGGCCAGTAGGATCCAGGTCAGGGGGATGGGGAGGGCGTCCACTGCCATTGTTGTTGGACAGAACCTTCTTCACAACCCAGCTGTCTGAAAACTATCTGTCATCCACTGGTAGTGTAGGTTGTCCACTAGTAGAAGTTAAAGTTGCTTACACAACTTCAACAACCCTAGCCTTCTTTCGTCAACCCTGCTGCTCAGCGAGACCTCCTCTCAAGTCTGCTGAGTCAGTTCCTATGTGTTGTTGTTTACAAACGTGTAATCTGACCGGTAGGGCGAGCTGACGTAATTCCTCCCCGTACAGCAGTGCCACCTACCGATTTATTTCTGTATTGCAATTTCAGAGATAAAGCATGGTACACGTGTGCGAACATTGTACCTGTTCCACATGCACAGAGAGAAGGGAGAAAAAGTTTGTGTACGTCTATGTGTGTTTGAGTGAGCTAAAATATCTATTATAACATATCATCTAGATATGCTCATCTTTGTCTGGTAAAGAACTTGACAAAATGCAATGTTTTCTGTTAGTACTCAACAAAATTGCATCATTCAATAAACATGTGTCCAATAATCATACTTCCAGCTAAGGTCTGCTGATGATTAATCTCCAAGCAGATGTTTCGGTGGCCGCAAAAGACAGTATCGAATGGGCCAAGCAGTATCCATTGGCACATGGACACAGTCTGGCCTAGCCTCCGGGCAGGTGGGAAATTTCCCCCCCCCCCCCCTAAAGTGCCCCATCAGGGGCTATATGGGGGTGTAGCCGGGGCTCACATAACATCTTTGAGCCCCGGTAAAGATGAAGATGAAGAAATAAAAAATGCATGTTTACCTTCGCATATGGTCTACTCTGACATTCACATATAAGGTGACAGGAGTCTAAATCCCTCCTGCTATAAAATTGCAACATTAACAGAGAATAAGAACACTGGAGACTACCTTAACAGTGAACACAGACAAGAGCAGATGGTGTATATCTATTTTTATTTCTCTAGACACATGGACAGCTGGCTCTACTCGTTCTCCTCGGAGCGGAGACGAGCGTTGGGGTTGGTGACCTTGATGGCCAGCTGCTGGGCGCGCTCCACGATCAGTTTCCTCTTGCGCGACGACACGTTGTGAGCGATCTCGGCACAGAACGTCCGGTTCTGCATCAACAAGACCTCCAGGTCCTGGTGAGGAGGTAATAAAGAGCAAAGTCAGAGACAAGGAGGGCACATGTTGGTTGATGATGTTTTAAAACCTAAGCCACAGCAAGTCATTTTTTATGGATGACATCAGGTGCACATTAATTTTCCCCTGATTTAAAAAAAAATTTTGTTGCCTTGTTTATGCATGCATTTTTGCTTTTTGCCCACTGCTTTTTTGCTTTTTACCCAATCATCAAACACACGTGAATGAATACAAACAAGAATGAAGAAAAATCCTTACAGTGACATTGTGGACGAGGAATTTCTTGAAGCCTGAGGGCAGGAGGTGCCTGGTCTTCTTGGCGCTCCCATAACCGATGTTAGGCATGAGGTACTGGCCCTTGAAGCGCCGCCTCACACGGTTGTCAATACCCTTGGGCTTACGCCAGTTTTGCTGGAAGGGAAGAAAATGACAACAAAATTATTCAGTACACATCAATAGTTATTGAACAAATATTACTTGTTGTTGGGCCTAAGAAAAAATGTTGTGTTTCCACTTTCCAGTATAGCCAATATAACTGGCTGCCCTTCGGCGTAACACACCAGCTTCGCTGTTCTTGGTGGCAACGAGTTCCAGTCTACGATAGTTCTTGGGAAATACAAGTTTTTTAACACCTCAATTCTTGGTTGATAACTCTGATATTTGAAGGCATGACTGTTTCTTGTTCTCTTCTAGGCTGGTATCAGATACTTAGTGGTTGGTACGTCCACCACTTTATTAGTCATTTTGTACATCATGCACACCTGGACATTCTTCGTCGTCATACCTTTAGTTTGTCATATCTGTCGCTCTGATGGCGGATGAATTTCTTCACCCGCTTCTTGACAATCTTCGGCTTTCTGAGCGGACGCACAGCCATGGTGACACTTCTAACAAAAGGGATACACAGAGAGTAAGGAAACACATACCATATAACATGGAACTTTAAGGTTATACTTCGTAACACTAACATAATTACTAAATAATTCTGCCCCCCCCCCTCGAAATAACAGGTGAACAAAATTTCCAGAATTTCTATTCGGCGTGGCGTCAGAAATTCTCACACTGAAATAACCAATATTTCTATTTATGACACAAAATCATTTGACTAGCGATGGCTGTGAAGATATATTTTTTCGGGACCACTGTGTTCTTCTTTACTTTGAAAATCACATAGGGTGTGCTTTTTACCACACCGACTTTGTCACGTCTAATTAATAATTACAAGAACAGTTATGCACATAAATTTCCAAATAAAATGGGCATGGTGGCTTTGGCAAGAATTTAGGCTAAGGAATAGACACTGATGGTTTATGAAACATGTGATATTTGTCGGATTTTATTGGACATTTCACTCACCAGATCCCTTCTCAGGATCCAAGATGGCGGAAGAGAAAGACGATCAGCATGGCATGATGGGAGTAGCATTTGGATGATACCATTTCTACACATGAACAGGAGTTGTCAGTTTGAACTTGAAAGTATAATAGAGTAGAAATTACAATTTTCCATTCAATTATTAAATAGTATGTTATATAAATGATGAGTAAGTATAAATAAATGTATATTTAACGTCTTTTAAGCAATAAATATTAGATTATAATTATGTTTATAAAAACAAACACATAGAGGATCCCCTTAGATGTAGAACATTCCATTCGGCGGTGGAAACTGAGCAAGATGGCGGACAAAGACAGACATGAAGTTGAGAGACAAAAATCCAAAGTTGATCTCGGTTTACTAGAAGAGGACGACGAATTCGAAGAGTTTCCGGCTGAGGGTAAACTGAGGCTATACTTATACCCAACCTGGAATACATGTTTTCTTATGTATTGTTTTCCAATGATAAGAAACTGGGTTAGAAACAGTGGTAGTTTGGGGGTAAATTTATGATTTGTCATGTGCATGTGGGGAGGGGGGTAGTGAGTGTGTTACAGTGTTTTGTGTTGTCAACTTCTTATACTATGATATACATAGAAGACTAAGAGTACAATTTCTGCACAAGGTTAAACGTGATTTCAGCTGAGCTAAGCAATATTTTGTTAAATCACCCAAGGCATACAGTTATTATTAAAATTATGTCTGTGTGATTCTGTGACTTTTTTTTGATAGGCTTAGCCACTGCACTGTTTTGACACACAACTGTTTGTGTATTTCCAGACTGGCAGGGTCAGGATGAGGAGGTAGAGGAAGTTCACGTTTGGGAGGATAACTGGGATGATGACGACATAGAAGATGATTTTGCCAAGCAGCTGAGGTCAGTATTCTAGACGGTCGTAAGTTCGTTGTACCTTTAAAAAAAACACATTTTGCATTTAGGTTCAGGTCTTAAGGGTGCCCCTAGGAAAAATTTGAAATCTTGAACCTCTAAAATGCTATTTCTTTCATTGTAAACAGCAGCTTTTGCTTTACAGGCCAATTTTTGTCTGTCAGAGATGACAAATTGGGCAAAATTCATGCCCACCACAAGCAGTGAAATTCTATACATCAAATGATGGAAAGATGGATGCTGGCTCAAACACAGCTCCTTTCTCTTTGGCTCTAACACTGTTAATTGACATTCGGGGATTATGGTTAATTTAACCCTTGTCCTGCTGTGCGCAACATATGTTGCGCAGCACATTCAGTACCATCTATATAACACCCTGCATAGGTACGATTTGGGGGTATTTCTCGTGCAACGGATTACACCGCAGCGAAACGCAACGAATGCGGAAGTAACTATGCCACTGCAGAGCAAAAAAATTTAGTTTTTTTAAATCTAATTAAGACATGAAAATATTGAAAAATATTGTGTCAGGAATGCCAGCAGGACAAGGGTTAAGTTCATGAGAACCTAATTTCGTGATGGGAGGGGATTGGAAACAACTGTAGTAATGTAATATTATGCAGCACAGAGTATGCTATTGTGGTCTGAGTACTTCCCACGAAGACTGCAAACATTAAACCACCCTAAATTCTAGTATTGTCTCAATTACAGTAATTCAGTTTGTGGCTAGATCTATACATGTAATTTTACTCAGGGTTTGTTGGACATCATTTCACAGTGTACATTTTTCTGAATATTTTGGTATCTGTACCATTATGTTGATTTTACTGTAACTGGAGTTTTATTTTTCTTTAAATCCTCTAACAGAGCGGAGCTGGAGAAACAGGGACATAAGGTTGAACAGATGCAGACATAGCAGAACAAGCCTGGGGACACCATGAATGTTTACTTCTTCTTTCATAACAAGAACTTCCTCTGAGACTAAAGCACAAAGCACTATCTAATACAACAAACTGTTCAGATCATTAGCATGATTCTGAAATCACTTGGAAATAAGTACATTATCTGGTGTTGAATAGTTTGTATCTTACTTAGTCATAAACTCAACTCCACTCTGCAACTGTATCATGTAGGTGAACTTCTATTCAGAGCACTTTCTGTCAAGACATAGTTTCATGGAACTTTGACACATGCACACAATGTTAAGTCCCAAACATGTTAAAATTTAGTACAGCAAACTTGAGTAAATTGTTGAGTCCAGGCTTTTGTAGTAACTGTTTATCATGTTACAATCCTGACTAAAAAAAAATATACAGTACATTTTTGTCCTTTGTATTGTTTTATGTCAGATTTTGAAACTCATATTGTTGTAACTTCTGAACCATTTGCTTTTCTGTATCCACAATTTCAGGTGGTAGAAGATATAATGGGCAGGTTACAAGAAGATGTTAGAGCTGTAAGTTGTACGTTGAAAAGATATCCATGCATTAAATGTTTCCAGTTACTTCACTAACAGTAAAGGTGTTTTTTCTGAGTGAATTCACAACTGAGAAAAAAAGAATGACTTTCCTTTAATGTCATAGGCTCCAACCTTGTGCTGGAATGACTTTTTATTATGACAAAAAATATAGAAAGTAGAAATTCAATGATGAAATTATGAAGTTAGTATGCAAGTTGTGACCGATGATCACAAATGGTATTTAGCAAGAAAATAGGAGCTTGCCACATACATTGCCAAATTGAAATAAATGTAGAAATGTTACGGCTTTAAAGAAAAAGACGAGACTCAGGCAATCTTGTTAAAAGACATTCTCATATATGGTGACAGAAGTCTAAATCCCTCCTACTATATAATTGCAACATTATGTAACCCAACACCAGTTACCATGGTGAGAGACAGTCTGGTTCAGTGGTCACTGGAGAAAAAGAGGAAATGTAGCAAAAACAATATGTTTTAGAATAAATATTGATACAGTTTAAGCATCCAAAAATAAACTTTGCTCTAGGTGCAGGAAATAACATGTGGAGTCAACTAGAAAGCTTCCATTAGATGTCATTGTTCACCTTGATGTAAAAGTGACGTTCATACAGCACATCAAAAGTTGTTACTTTACTTTCCAAGGAGAAATGTAGAATTTCCACTTGCAACAATTAAATGACGCCGCCTATGATTACTTGGGGAAGTGCAACAAATAGATATGGTCACGTGTCGTGACGTCATAAGCCCCCGGCCCGACCTGTTGACCTTATGCAAATTTATCAGGTCACGCCTCCTGGCGGCGCAGTTTGGGTCAGGGGACAGCGGTTTCTGGAAAGCTGACGGTCAAACCGGCCAGGTTGGTCAAAGTCTCGGCTTTCCCCAGCGAAATTACAGCCACATTTGCATGTATTCCGAAGGATTTCGGCCTGGCAGTTGCAATCTCCAAGCTAGGTTTGAAACCGGAGGATTTGCGGGATTCGTTCCTGAGTGGAAACAGACTTGCTGTAGCAGGAGTGCGTGTGACGATTTTTCCTTGACAATTTGTCGGCAGACGACTTTTCCTTTGGTTCTGTGAAGCAGACGGCACGACTTTACTGAGAGGATACTAAGGTAGGTAAGAGTTATTCAAGTTTTACCGTGTCCTCGTTAAACTGTCTGTGATATTTCGGCCCATTCAGTGGTTCCAGCGTGGTATGAGTAACGTTCTGTTCCGCACACTTCCGTTACGAGTTGTTCTGACTGGCCCCCCAGAGAACAAGCTGATTCTAGCCGCTCCCTCTGTCATATGTAAATTCTAGCGTCTAGGATTTTGTATTTTCGTGTCTTAAACTGTTCTCAATGGAAAGTTGACTGTTCTTTCTTCCGACTTCATCCTCACAGGACAGACGGCCCCAAAAAAGGATGGCGGACACTTTGGACATCGATCCCGAGGTGGGTGTTGCGAAATTCTGGAACAAATTCTTTGATATCCGGTAGTATAAACGTGCTGCATGCGGAAAAACGGCTGAGTCTATTTTGCTGAAAACTTTAGGAATCTTTCCCAAACATGTCCCGGACCTCCTTACTTTGTTTCGACAAATTATGTGGTTTCCTTTTTGAGATATTCAAGTAAATAGATCGGAGGTATGTGTTAGCACATTTTCTGTGACTGGGGTTCTGGATACACACTCTGCATGCTCAAAAACTACTGGTCGTATTTTCCTGACATTTGGCACAGGGGTGTATCTCTATAAGATCACCAATTGGGCCAAATTATAATTCTCAATTTTTTTCGGTTGTCGAGAAATCCTGGTGGAATAATTGCCGTGTTGTCGAATTTTCAATATGGCGTCTGTCGAACACGGCGGCTCGGCCTTCTGTTCAGACAAGCAAAATGGCAACAACATTCTCTGACAGTGTCTAGTTTGTCCGATAGTGTTGCGTTAGGTGTTCCAACCAAATCGCTGGTTATCTGAGCATTGTAAGGGGTAAATTTCTCGATATGGGCAACATTTGGTGGTTTGTCGTATTTGTGACGTTTGTGGGACAGTCCCGGACTTGGAGGTTGCTAGCAGACCACTCCGAACTGATACCCCTATGCATGCTCAAAATCTACCGGGCCGATTTTGCTGTAATTCCGGTCATTAGTTGATTTTCAACAACTAATCCTTCCTACAAAATTTCAGCGGAATCGACCGGGTAGTTTTCGAGAAAACCGCCTTGAAAGTTTTGTCATCGACGTGTTTTCAAGATGGCGTCGATTTAATGACCCCGCTGATCTTTCAGGCTAGATTTTATCGTGCCCAACTCTTCTACTTATTTATGGTCAAAGACGTTCTCTGAGACGTGATAGATTGGTTGTTCCTGCATGCGGAAAAATTAATGACAGGGCACAGATATTGTTGAAACCGTTAAAATCCAAGAAGGAATTGTATGCAAATGACTCGGCTCGTGAGGAATTACTACTACAGTACTCCAAATAGTGACGCCATCTTGTTTGGTAAAAATAGTTTGTAGGTCGGGCGGAAATTTTACCTTCCGCTAAGCAGATTTACATCAACGTCACTTTCTGTTTTATTTTTTACTTGCCAATATAGACATGATTCTATTACAATTGAATAAACCAGTAGCTTTGAAGAAAATAATGATTGCGATGCCATTTCTGCACAGCATAGGAGAGGTGTCAATTTCTTGTGTAGATTTTTTTCCTCCGGAAACAAACACGATTTGCATATTTCTACCTGTCAAAATTCAAACAACTGTTGAAACTCGTGGGACCCAGCAACAACATACAAAGATCATTTTTTGTGGCCAAATTCAAGGCAAAAATTAATGCGCAGCCCGTACAAAGCTCGTCTTGTTTTTCTTGAATAGCCGATCTGAAATTTTAGATCCCAAGACAGCACCACGGAACAGTAGTACAACAAGCGCTAGAGTTGTTACGAAGTAAATGTAAATGTTGGTTTGGAAAAGGGTTGTCTTTTTGTGTTTTCTTGCATTTACGTACCGTCTGAACTTTTCCAGTTGTCGTATGTATGGTTCCTGCCCAAAGTTTGCATTGTAAACGTAAACGAGCTCGGTCAAGACTACTCGAAACACGATTCCGTTTGTCCAGGCCTCTTGGAAAAACAGCTCGCTCACACAAAGAAACAGTGCGAAAATCCGCCCTTTTCATAAGTTCTAGCATGTCGTCTGTATCAAAACTTTGGTCTGTATTAGTGCTGAAGATTCTAAACAAATGTCTGAGCTTTAGTCGAGGGACGGGCCCTTCTTTAGGATTTTGGACTTCAGCCAAAACGCCCCTTGCAAATCTTTCACTGTGTGGCTGGTGTGACGTAGTGTTTTGATTATACTGGACTGGGGTGTTGTTATGAAGGCTGCAGGCTAATAGATACCCGGTGAATTATGTGCGTCTTTTTGCCCTTTGTTGTGTTGTTGAGTGATCTGCCATGGAGATGTCCCGTCATTCCAAGAGGGTTAACCTCCTTGATCATTCCTTGGGATAATATGGACGAAGAAACAGACTTTGAGCAGACTTCTGTGTTACTTAAGGCTTTAAGAAATACATGAATCTTATCACTAAGTATGAATTTGGGCAGACTCATTTTAACTCACATAGAGGCTTGGTTTATTTTTCAGAGGTAAGCCTAAATTATATCACAAATGAAAAATAACAAAGAAAGCTATCTGTGTAAATATACTGGGTACAGTACAGTACATGGAGCAT